ACAGTACCTAATTTATATATAATTTGTATATAATTATATGTACAGTACCTAATTTATATATAATACTAAACAGACGATAGCAAACTCAATTTAGCCGCTCCGTAGCGTGGCGCAGGGTCGGAGGTAAGTAGTTCGGCTGCTCATCCACTATTGGTCCAGACTCTATCAATCTTGTCGCGAAACGACGTTATAGGAGGTACGTTATACGAAAGTTTTTACAATTTTTTTGCTACGTTATAGGAATTGTCGTTATAGGAACGTACGTTATAGGAGGGTCGACTGTATATTATTTATACATATACATATAGCTAAAATATTCATAAAATAGATACTCAAGTGAGCATAAATATAAAATGTCTGTCTGTTCTTCTAACAATTGCTTAAAATCATTAACATTAAAGTTGTATAAACATGATTTTTTAAGTAGAAATAAGCACATTTTTGGTAGAAAGTTCAGTTATAGTATTAATAAATATGGAAAAAAGTTTATCATCCTTATTAATACAGCATAATTTGACTATACTGTTACATACTGTAATAAGAATAATGCTATTTAAGTACAACTTTACTAAATTATTTACCTGTTAACAGCTCACTTCAACTTATGTCAGTTGTGTATTTAATTCCTGATAAAAGTTGATTGACTTAATTAATCAAAATGATCACTCATCTGATCTTTGATCAGTTAATTGACTCTACTTATCAGTCAACTGAATTGATCTTTGATCAATTGACAGAAACTAAGTTAAATTCTACAACTTAATTGACTAGAAATAAAAATTTAGCATTATAAATATAACAATTATAATTCATTATGAATGATAATCTAACAAAAGATATTATTATAACTCTTATAAAGTGTTTCTCTGCTGAATTACACTATAAATATACTATTTAATTACTTCTGTCATACTAAAGAGAGTTCTGATATAGTAACTAAGCTAAATCATTCCTTATAACTGTATAAAAAGCTTGATATGTACAGTAAAAATAATAGAATTGTCACTGTATCAGGGATCACTAGTCCAATGTAGCCTGTATTTTTGATAAAATTTAGTTCTTGGCAATTAACTTTACATGAACTTCCCTGCTTAATGTCATTTTAATATCATATGAATCATACATGAAAATGTCAATGACAATTTATATTATTAAATGTAAAATTGTCGTTAATCGAACTACAATTTACATTGAAAATTTATGTATTGAACACCCAAAATCAAATGGGAATGGACATCAAATTAGTGAATCATCACATAAGTTTCTTTGGAGTTGAGATCATGTTCTTCAGTGAACACGGTATTGACCACGTATCCTTGAGTTATATATTGAAATTATAATAGTATAATTATCAGGATACGTTTATCTTATCTTATAACATGAAGTTCAACCATGCTTTTTAATAAAATATCATTTACTTAAGCTATCATAACACATTTATAACAGCTCCTTCAATAAAATGTTTGTTTCCTAACTAGAAAAACATCTTTATCCTGTCTTTTAATGGGAATCGAACCCGTATCCTTCGATGCAATACCAAATTACATAATGTTACCAAGATGAATTGGGATTCTAAACTTTACCTTGAAACAATTAATTTCCCATGCTCATCCCATGGTCCTATGCACTTGGCATACATCTGGTCCTCGCTGGAAATTGTAAATTTACGTTATCTTCACAAGAATAACTGATAAAATTCCATCTCTAGAAGAAGCAGACTGCAAGGGATCTATAAATTATATTCAATCACAAAGTGCAACGTACAATATATTTAGTTTTCACGACCATTTTATGGAAAATTTGCATAATTACAATAGAAGAGTACTTAAAATTAATGGCTGAATATATTTAGAATGATAAGTGCTAACAATATTAACAATTATAGCAGAAAATTAAAATTTATAATTGAATTTTGTATTGATTCTTGCCATTATCCATCAACGATTCTCCACGAAAGATATGAGAGATATTCTTTTATTATTTTTAACTATTCATTCCCATGCTCGTGGCATGGATCTTGTCCTCACTGAGAGTTGTGAATTCATGTTATCTCTATAAGGATAAGGTGTAACTGATAAAATACAATCTCTAGATGAAGCAGACTTCAGAGTTTGTAGGGGATTCGCACAAGCTCGTTTGATTTTCATTTTTATAGGAATAACTAAGGAAGATAAAGCTTCCAGGAAGTCGAACACAGCAATTAGAGACATCCCTAACCATATGCCAATATAACCACCAACGTAACTGAAGAATTCAATGCTCTACAAGAGAGAAAAACGCATTGAAAAGTATGGACACGAAAGATTCCTCTTGATTTTTTTCAAACTTTAAATATACTTACTTCATATTTTGGTCTGTACGTATAAATTACTAAATCTGATTTCTTAAAAAATAATAAAATTATCGCAGTTTGGTTCCTGGAAAGTAATGAAATGTTCTTCAGTAATATGGTAACAGTTAATTGTTAATTTTCTGAATGCCACTTACCATAAAGTGGTAGCATTTGTGCTCTCTATCCCCTACAAAAATATAAGAAATATCATTAATTACTTGGATAGAATGTAAATTTTCTAACAATTATTAAAACATATACTTACGACTTCTATATTCTCTTCTTGTATATTCACTTCAAATGATATCGAACTTCAAGAAGAGTTTTTAAAAATTAAATATAAGTGATTAAAATGCTGTATTATAAATATTTATGATCTGGCACAATGTAATTTATTAAAAACAATAAATACAGGTGGCTCAAAAGTCAGTTAACCTATGTTTTTTGCAAGTAATCTGATTGATGGAATAAGTTCGACGTAACACTTTGCCAAGTGTTGGAGAACTTTCTACCAGAAAATGGCACCTAATTAGGCGTTAGACACGTGGAAAACGCCATGTTGATCAGGTTCAAACCCGCCACTAACTGTTAAGTGGTTTCTATTATTTGTCCACTGTGGACGTGCAAGCGAATAAATACTTTGTGTCAAAACCGTTGTACAATTGTTAACTGACTTTTAGACCACCTTATGTATTAATTAATTTAATTATCAATCAGTCAATTAGAAATAATGGTTAACTCACTGGCATGCCGGTCCACAAGCAATAAAACAATGACTATAATTAATTTTATCGGTACAGGGTATGTCCACTAGAATAAATACATATATTTTGTACGAATTTTTACGAAATATTACCAGAATTTATTTACAACACAATACCTTCGTGACAGAACTTTTCGTAATGAGGATAGATGCTGGATGTCTTGACGCAACCACAGTGATCCAACGTGGCATTCATTAAACATTCTTCTATACACATCTGTTGTGATTATCAGAATTAATTTATTCTGTTGCTAATTGCGTAAATTAATTGCAGCTATTTATGGAAGAAATTTAAATAAATTACCTCGCGACTTAATGGTCCTCTTCCGAGTCTTCTCTTCCATAGTTTTTTGTAGTTGGTACAGTTTGTTAAATAGGGAGATGGAAGAAGATGCTTTATAATCTTCAAAGAAAATTTTACAAAATGGTAATTTTTAAATTTATATTTTATTTAGGGTGAATTACATGCATTAGAACCTCGCTTTTACGATCAGTTTCCTGGAAAACTGTCGTAAAGCGAGGGGTCATACGGTGCGATTCGATTGCACCAGACATACTTTTATTACAGAAGAGCGTGTAAATTTATTTATTTATAAGAAAAGTGTAAAATATATTGATAATTACAAACATTTATTTTACATATTAACTGGCTGTAGGCTGAAATCCTTAAGAGGGATCAGCCAAACCCACATGGGTATGTAAAAAAAAGGGAACTCTCAGTGACTACAGAGTGGAGTCAAAAATTAGTGAATTATTCAGTTTTTTGTATTTCAATTACTTAATTTTTAACAATTCTAAGTTAAAATAGCCAGATTTTGTTAAGGAAGTAATTATCTACCCCCTTAAAGTTTTGTCACACACCACACATCAGTACTAAAAATAGCTGACATATAAGTGTATTGCTTGTAGTAATTACAAGTGAAAATAATTAAATTTTACCTCTTTTAAATGAACTAAATAAAGTTTAGATGGTGTAATAGTAAAACCTTCAATAAATGGGTTTATAATGCTATATGGAGAATGTAGTGCTGCTTGACCACCAATTCTACGATCCAGTTGAAATGCTTCAGTGGGTTCGAAGTCCACGACAATGGTCAAAACTGTACAAGATTTTTATAAAGTATTTTAAAAAAATATTATAAAATATCGTCCAGTAATTAATTTTCTTAATTATTTACCTTCGTGAAGGGGCACTCGAGGTAACTTCAGCTCTTTTTTAGACCACCTCGGATTTATAATGTGACACAATTTGCTTCTTTGATATATGTCTAAAAATGCATAATAGCGAAATGTCTCGTTGCTGAAAGAAAATTCCATTTATTTTCAGTATATTTATATTAATACGCGATATAAACGCGAGAAAAGGCATATCAATTAATTAAAGAGAATTAGAGAAAAGGGAGAAAGAGAAGCAAAGAGAGAGGTAAGAGAGAAGATGAAGAGATGAGAGGAACGGAAAGAGAGAACTGAAAGAGGAAGGAAAGAGAGATGAAGAGATGAGGAAGAAGAGATGAGAGAAAGGGAAAGAGAGAACTGAAAGAGGAAGGAGAGAGAGAAGGTAAAGAGAACTGAAAGATGAAGGAAAGAGAGAAGATGAAGAGATGAAGGAAAGGAAACGAGATAACTGAAAGAGGAAGGAAAGAGAGAAGATGAAGAGATGAAGAAAAGGAAAAGAGAGAACTGAAAGAGGAAGGAAAGAGAGAAGGGAAAGAAAACTGAAAGATGAAGGAAAGAGAGAAGATGAAGAGATGAAGGAAAGGAAAAGAGAGAACTGAAAGAGGAAGGAAAGAGAGAAGGGAAAGAGAACTGAAAGATGAAAGAAAGAGAGAAGATGAAGAGATGAGGGAAAGAGAAAGAGAGAACTGAAAGAGGAAGGAAAGAGAGAAGGGAAAGAGAACTGAAAGATGAAGGAAAGAGAGATGAAGAGATAAGAGAAAGAGAGAACTGAAAGAGGAATGAAAGAGAGAAGGGAAAGAGAAGTGAAAGAGCAGAGAGAGGAGATAAGTGAGAGAGAGGGAAGAGGAAACCGGAGGAGGAGGAAAGAGAGAAGTGAGAGAGATAAAACACTTACCGGTATTTAATTACTCGTCACAATTCTCTTATTGGTAATAAAAGGCAATTAATTAATACTGAAAAAATTAAAATACAGGTATCCCTCGTACAACACTGTTTCGTCTTAAAACGGTTCGAAGATTGGTATATTCTCGCACAACACGACTTCCGGTTCCGGTTTCGCTCTAACACAGTTTTGGAAATCCTCCGTACAAAATTTCACAATTTTTAAGTGTATACTTCATTATTCGATATTATTTTTATTCAAGTAAGCACGCACGTCGTCTCAATTTTTAATTGTGATTGTAATTGTTAAGTAATTATTGATTGGAAATAAATCTCGATTGCTTTAATAATCATATTTCTCTTAGAAACGAAAAAGAATTGTATACTTTTGCTAACTTTCTGCAACTGTAACTCTATGTTTTGCATTAGTCCTTTGTTTCGTATAGCACGGATTCGCATAACACAACACTTTTTCGTAACTACCGTGTTATGCGAGCCGTGCTCTTGTCATATTCGAGTCAAGACTCCATCTTTACATTGTCTAAATACTTATAAGAAGAATTTAAATAATAATTTAAAAACGATTCTTACTCGCATATTTGGAATTCATCTTTTCCTGTGCCAAAAGTACATTGAGAAATTAGAGGATACGAAGCGTGACCTATATCTAAAAGCAAGTCACGTGTTACTGTTTCTTCCCTATCGATGGCTTCTAGCTTCGGTTTCTAATAATTAATTTAAAATGTTACTCTTAATTAATTCCAATTAAAGTTTTTATATTTAATTCTCAATTAATTACCATCATGTCTTCTTCTGTCTTAGCCGCATTACACACGTAAGGATATTGTTCACAAAATGTTGTCATATTATTTGGTAATTCGCATTCCGATGGAAATTTCTTGCAGAAACTGGTGCGTCGTATACTAAAATAAGAAAAAAAATATACAGTATGTTCATCTCTAACCAGGGGCAAAAGAGATCTTTCGGCATTGCAACACGAGTGTGGCTATCATATGAGCTAAAAGGGACGTTGCCTGGGTCCCCTGTTAGTAGGAAGCCAGTAACCAATCTTTTATAAACTCACTACTTTAGTAAGAATATTGAAATTTAAATTTAACACATACCTGGGGACCCTAGATTGCGGTGTGGCACAGGGTCAGGGTACATGGCGCCGCATAGAACTTAAAACCCGACGGAGGTCGAGAATACCGATGATTCCCGGGAAGAAAAATGTTCGAAGTCAACATATGAGGCTACCTAATACAAACTTGCCTGGGCCCTCGTGAAGTTATAACTCGCCACTGCGTGTAACGTATACTTCAGCGCTCAATTCAAATGAATGATGTTTGCCAAAATCGTGTTTCACTGCTAAGTACGCATTAGGCCAATAAATTAGGTGAACCCACAGGTAAAAATCCTGAGAAGTCAAGTCTAGGGATGTGGTTACTATGGAACAGGCATCTGGCAATTGGAAAAAACCACTCTCCAAGCCAGACACACGTTTGTCTATCATTTTGCTGGTACCAAACATGCTATAGTTACGCATTCATGTTTAGGATATTTATTATATGGGACCAAGAAGCTCCTCACCACACCAGACGTTTAGGATATAACGGACTCGGTGTCGTGTATATTGCATGTATCGTGGAGCACGCTCTGCCCAATGGTATACATTGTAACGTTGTACACTGAATATGCTAAAGGAGTTGTTCATATTACATTAAATTTAACGTCATATTGCGTCACTCAAATGGTGTGCGGCATCACCACAAACGTGCAACACATGCATTCGTGCAATAGTAAAAAGGTCTCTACCTCTGGACAGATATTTAATTAAGACACTGTATATAATTTAAATGAAATCGAAGTTAAATACAATATTTACATTAATATACATAAATTATCCATTCTTCTTTTTGTTCTGTAATTTATAGGGAAGGATGGACGAGGCTGTTAAGGTGTCAGCCTACCACTCTAGGGATCCGGAATCGAATCTAGGCGAATAACCCCAAAAATTCTCGTGGATAGTCAGTTATCATGGATACGTCAGACCCATCCCTAACTATCCGGCTCTCCCAGCGTGTACCTAGTCAAATCTACGATGATCTAAATTGAATAAAAAGCCTTTAGTGCCCATAGACATTTCAACAGAACTATTCATATTACAAAGTGTTCATTTACTAAAATAATTAAAGACAAATAAAAATCAATGCCCAGTCTTTCAGGCATTAAGATGGCCTTTCGTGCAAGCTTACGTGAATCAATAATTCAGTTAGGTCCCAACAGATTGAAGGTCTACACATCTAGGTCAAACTACTCCCAAATATTCCTGAAGATCCGAACAGGACCCGAATTAAGGTCGTTCAGAGTGGCAGGCTTGACTCCCTTACCACCTCAATCACGTGTAGTCTAAAACAATTTACACTTGTATCAGTACTCACCCATTTCTATTACATATTGTTATAGAAGGCATATCAACCATCAAAGGCTTAGTAATCTGGACATCAACTAATGTTGGATATGCCCAATATATTATCAGAAAAGCAGAAAGCTGATAGAGAAATCCAGCGATACATCCGAATAGGACCACAACTTTTAAAATCTTCCTCGATTTCTTCTTAGCCAAAGCAATCTGAGGAATGCCAGTCAAAATGGAATTCTCTAATATATCTTGAAACAAATCAGAAAGTTTAGGAATCTCCGAGAAATTCGTAAAAGCGCTACTGGTTCTGCGAGAAGTCATGTCCACAGCCAACTGGCAGCAATATGTAAATTTATCGTCACAGCCAGTTAAAAATACTGTTTCATAACAAAATTACACGTTATTTTTTTTATCTAGAAAGACGATATTTTAATATAAATATCCATTTTTCACCGCTCCTTCCTTGTAGTCTTTTCTCAGAAGAGTGTTGCCAGGTATGAAATTAATATACATATTTTTTTCTTACTTATAAGTCGATAACGACAGCTTTTTCTCTTCTCCTTCTTGATGACAGTTGTAGTTATAGTAAATAACATATTTAAAAGAAGATTTGGTACAAATTTCAGGAAATTAACGTGTAATTTAACATCGATAAATTGATATTATTCGCGGATTTTTCTCGGTCTAAAAATGGAATTTTGATTATCTTTAATGCTAAGAATTGAAGCAAATCGTTATATAACAGCCGAAATTTTAAATAATATTAGTATAAAAACGGCCGAGGCCTCAGTCTACTGCTGTGGGGGCCTGAAATCGAATCCGTGTGATAAACCCTAGAAATTTTTGCGGTGATCTGGCCCAGAATGCCCTTTTCAGCCCCTTCGCCTCTTCACCTAAACTTCTTTTCTTCCATTCCTTTCACCCCAGGCAATTCCATTGAGTAGTCCTGGATCCCCTTTAATATAGAATGTCCCAGAATGCCGGACCCCGTCTCTTATTAAATGGTTGTCTTGTTTTTGGCCTTTCTAAACCCACTAAGGGCCTGAAAAAGGCCTCATTAGTACCCATACGGCCGAAAGAATACAAAAAGAAAAGAACACTGTGTTACTGAAAGTTAAAACTATACAAAACGCTCTGTTACGAGATGCTCTTAAAAAATAACTTTTATACTATTATTGTTTGATCGATCGCCATACCTTCCCTCTGTTCTATATATTAGCCCGGAAAGTGATAGTAATTCTGCTAAATATCTACCAATCATTATCAATCTCATAACTGCATCAACGAGCCTTGAATTTGAGCCTCTGGGCCCTACGATAGATTAAGGCATGCTTCCAGATACTCGACTATTGTACGAAGGTTTTGAGGGTGTCGTCAAGGCTCTTCCTTTAAACGCCTATAACCAAGGGCGCCCGTACATTGTGGCAACTTTTCCCCTTTTTTATCTGTGTTACCCTTTCCGTGAACCCCAAATTTTGTTATTAACCATTAAAAATCCTATGTAACATAAGAAATTAATGGTATGAAATCGTTAAATATAATTTATTCTCTTAAATTTCTAACATTAAAAGTAATCATTGAGCCGAGAAATTACCCTAAAAAATTAAAATAATTATCGAAACCAAAAATTGTAAAATTGGTATAAAATCTCTTGTAAATTACATTGTAATTGATGAATCAATTTCAATATTACATTATTACCTTCATTTTGGTTTCTAACGGTAAATCAGCAGAACACAATTTATCGATTTCAATGAATTTTCCGTACATCTTAAAAAATTAAAATAATTATCNTGTAAATTAATACAAATACAAGAAAAACTTTGCTAATAACCGGTGAGAAAACCGGTTACTTGAGAGTTTCTGAAGATCTTCACGGAACACTTCGAGTTGTTGTTTACATAAATGGAGACGTATTGCTTCTTCTGTAGAATAAAAATATAAAAAAATTAATTAAATAAAGGTCCAAATTGCATAAAAAATTAAACGTTGATTACATAAACAACACCCAAACACGTATATCCTACGTATAAACCACACAGGAAGTGTATACATAATGTGCTTAATGATCCGAACCGTCACCCTATTATGAGCCCGGGTTCGAGTCATTCCGGCGCCAAATATCTTAATTGTTTAGATTTTTATCTTGGTTTTAGAATGCCATGTGGGTTTAGCGCCGAATAAACACTTTAAACCATCAAAATTTCTTACCTTTAAGTGTAAAATCCCATTAATGGAGACTGTAAATGGCGAATTTTTTACATCCGTTATGGTCTTGAGTGATCTGAAATTATTTGTTTATTAGTTTCGTGTGATAGAACCAGTAATCTTAAAGATAATAAATACTTACACATTCTCTTCGCACTGAGAATTAATACACAATAACACTTCTATAGAGTCGAAGGGTCGAATTTCGCACGAATTATTTTTGTTAAAATGAAAGCTGACATAAAAGGTATAGAACCCACTTTTCTGTAGTTCGTATCTTCCAGTGTCGAGCCAACTGTTATTTTGACAATTGAAACTCTCTTCGGCTGACACGAAACTTTGGCAACGATCGTGGCTACCCTTTGCAATTGGCTTTAATTAAAAGATAAAACGTCATCTTGAATAATTTTTCAGCCATTAAAATTATTTTACGCCATTTTAAATTACCTTATAGTAATTAGAAATCTCGTTTATGGTGTTAGAACCGATCCACACGTTTTCTTTTAATTGCCACAGGAAACTCCACGACACTTTAGGTGTGATCGTCACGTGATCCACGTCAAACAAGGGTGGTTGCAATTGTTGTCCCCCGGATTTAGTCTTTTGTACTTCAGAATATTCTTTAGTGCACTAGAAGACAAAATAAAGAAGGTTATAATCGAGTTAAACGCAATTATCTTATTAATTCTGTAATTATTTTATTATTATATTACCTGTGGGTCGATGGTTATTTGAAATTTCTTTTCGGCTGCATCTGTTAAATTAATATAAAGATATATTTCTTATCCTTTACTCCATTTATCATCGATCTTTAAAGTACTTGATCAGATTAATATGCATACCTTTTACCATTTCGCCGAATATTTTCACTAATTCTTCTTTTGTCACTTGACCACCGGGTGGTCCGGGTGGTCCCCTAGGACCCCTGGGACCCGGAAGACCTGTCTGCATCTATTTAACAATAATTTATTCATATATAAAATCACTAAATTTATATAAATAATGATGAATTACCTGACGAATTCGAGCATTCCTTAATCGATTTTTTTGCTTTTTAGCCTTTTTTTCTTCCCTTTCTGCATTTTTTAGAAACGTTTGCCAAGCATCCCTGGCATTGTATACAAAAGGGCGCACCTACAGGTGTGAAAAACGAGAAAAATGTTACATTTTCTTAACTTACAATGCCTTCATTTCAACGCTAAAATGTATCTAAAATAACCAATTTTACAAATTGTAAAACGAAAATTAAGTATGTTCAGAGGATTCTAGAGGATTATCAAACTTTTATTATTAATAATTAAGAGCCGATGCCATCTTGAAAGCGAGCATTCGTAGTTAACCATGAAGTTATAATCTATTTTATTAATCTAACAACAGAATTATTAATTCTAAGCTTTCAGAACGTAATTAGTATTCAGTTTTAATTAATTTTAACCATAAATAATCACTAAATATAACATAATTATATTAAAAATCTGAATGTTTGGTCACTTTTAATGTAAAGTATTAAGGTTATAAAATTATTCTTTGTTCGCTTGTCTTAAGGGTATATTCAAGATCGTTAACAATTATCAAATTAATCATTATGAATCACTTAAAATGACTTATAATAAAATTACATTTCTTTTTAATTAATTACGATATAATTAATGCTAAAGTGATTCAACTTAAAAGAGTCATCCAGACATGATGATAATTTCCTGAAAACTCATTTAAAAGATTATTTGTTGTAATTAATTTCGTGTTTNATATAGGAACATGTCACCCACAAACGTCAAGCCCAAATCCCATAGCCATTCTCGTATATTGCTACTATAAACAAAGACTACTTACCAAACGGCTGGCAGGTTTTTTCGTTACACCTTTATCGTCATTTTCTGTAACGATTCTTTCGGCACAAACAGTTACGAATACAAGCGCGAGGACGAGTAAAACACGTGTACACGTCTCCATGTTTAACCTTTGACTGGCAACCAGTAATCAGGGTCATCCGTCTTACTATAACCTTCAAAGACTAAGGAAACAAAGGCTTCGTCTATAGCACCTGATGTTACAATTGTTTGAGGCATTCCTTATAGGAGAGAGGTGTTATGGGAGTTGTCACACCTGCATAGGGCTTTTCGAAGAACTTTCATTGATGCAAGCAAGAGCTTGAATTTTCGATGTTTTAGGAGGCAAAAATAATTAATTTTATTACACTTTTTCTGTTTGAAATTTAAATTTTATATTCCCTATAATCGGGCCTCCTCCTTTTTTTTTAAGGTAATCAATAAAAACAGTGTTTTATTGTCGTTAGAATTTTACTTTTGTGCCTTAAACTCGTGTGTTACTATTGTTAAATCCCTATACAAAAGTAAAGGTTTTCTTTCCATTTATTTACTTTAGTGCAGGTGAGGACCTTAAACGAAATTTTAAGGCATTTTTTCCATCATAAAACAGCAAATTTTATACATAAAAACGGTACTTTTACATACATTTTTTAACAGTAAATCTTAGAATTAATAAACAATACATTTTGTAAAAAATAATAATTATTATTATTATTTGTGTATAAAAATATATTCTTAATTATAACTTGCATTCTTCTTCATCTTCGCCCATGGTTATCTATGGGGGGGAGAAATTAGGAAATGTAAATGGCATTTTTTTTACCCTAATTTTAATTTTAATTAAGTTAATTACATTCAAAATGGCTTCCGATTCAGTCAATGCTTGTTTTGCTAAGTATCTTTCACGTTTTATCTTTATTTCTAAAGATTCGGGAATGTCAGGAACCAGAACATCTATCAGGCGGCATATACCAAAGACTACGTGCTGTAAATAATACAAAATGTTGTACTTAATGGTAATTAAATGCAGTAAATAAACAATTAAAGTCGGTATTTATGCTAAACTTACTTCGAACACGATGACAAAGCCGAGTCTAATTGCTAATAACTCCCAATAGAATGTAGTTAAATTGCCTTTGGGATCTCTATAAGCTGTATACCTGTAGAGAACTTCACGTTAATCAAGTAAAAAAGAGTACAAATGTACAAACTTTCACTTAATTATCTTGCTTATTTCGATTAAATGATGGATTTTCGAGAACAGATCCATTTTCGTTGGCAAATGACACTATTTTTATTATTTTTAAACAGCCACACTGTATAATCTTCCCATCTAACTGTCAAAAAGGATCACCTGACCTCTAAATTAGGTCAAGGTCATGGGAGTGGGCACTCCGTTTACGTCTAAAGGCACAATCATGTAAGAAAATCAAATTTAAATTTAAGGTTGATTGTAGCCATGTTAATTATGCACGCGATATCCAGCGGATGGAGTTATGTAATGCTTTTTCTATGGTAAAAACTTTTTCCAAATTTTCTCCAGAACGGAAGTAGGTAGGACCATACAGTTTTTTGCGTTAGAATCCGATTTAATTCTTCTATTAATGTACGGTTCGGAATTTCGAAAACACAATTCGTTAATTTTCTATTTATTTTTAAATTCGTAAAAAATTCGTAGAAAATTAACAAATCGGAGTTCCAAAATTCCGAACCGTACATTAATAGAAGAATTAAATCGGATTCTAATGCAAAAAACTGTATGGTCCTATCTACTTCCGTTCCAGAGAAAATTTGGAAAAGGTTTTTACCATATAAAAAGCATTACATAACTCCATCGGCTGGAGATCGCGTGCATAACCAACGAGGTTACAATAGCCTTAACTCTAGGCTATGTTAACCCTCATTATATATTAAAATGTAAAGCATAATTACAGTAGTACAGTTGACAATTTAACAACCTGTTAAAACATCAATAATACTAGAATGAAGACATGAAAGAAGCTTTTCTGAACCTTTAAAAATGATTTAATTAAATTTCCAGGCAAGAGGAGAATAAGTACTGTCTAACAAGCTTAGTGACTTTGCTACAGGAGAATACGAGGTGATTAAGCCCCTAAAAAAGAATATAATAGCCCCCAGCTTAGTCGGGAGTGTCTCCGTATGTTGTTTACATGATAATCATATACTTTCCCTTTCATCTCATGTAGGCACCGGGTCTATTTAATCTGCATATGCAGATTTTCAGCTTGCTTTTCATTTATTAATCTAGCCCCCCAATGCTTTATTCACTGAAAAGCCACGTTTCTTCCGAGAAACTGTTCATACACATGTTTATAATTCTATCTTTTAACTTTATTTTTAGATAATTTAATTAGTAAAATTTATTTTTAGGTATGTTTGAAGCGTTACGAATAAAACTGGCTTCTGTGAGCATGTAAATAGGAATAAGAAGAGAATGTTAAAATTAAAGAACCGTTTTGATCTTCGAATGAGCTTCCTCTATTCTTTAAATTCCACCAAATTCTCGTATCAACATCCTCAGATGCCAGTGGCGCGTTGTAGCTTCATCGGGCCCAGATGAATTTGAATTAAAGGCCCCATCCATAGTGTTGACTTAAGACACTTTTCTTCGGGGAAATTTTTGAGGAAATATTTTTTTTATAAAAGGATAATTTGGGGGCCCCCGGGCAATTCCCTTTTTTCCGTAGGATAACGCGGCGCTGTTAGATTCTTCCTTATATTAATTGTGCCAAAGGGGTGTCTCAACGAAAGACTTCCTATGAAAAACTGACCTCTATTTACGTGTTAGATACGTAAATATGAAGGCCCTACCGGGAGCCAGTTCAGTAAAAAAAAAATCAATGCAACTTCTACGCGGTCAGCCCCTGGCGAAGCGCTAACCCCCGACCTATGTTTAGTGGTTTCATTCACGTGGCCACTGGTGGGCTTATTGACAACTAGAAGACAATACAAATATATCTTTAGCATCTTTCCTTCCGTCCTTTCTGCAATACAGGAACAACAAAGTCACCTTATTCTCAGGCTAGAAGAGCCTTCAGAAACAAGGTTCGACTCTGCCATTTAATTTTATTGTTCTTACAGTGTGAAAAGAATGAGAGAACCCTAAAAATATTCCTGCACTTGTCGTCTATTTGTGACATTTCAAGTAAGTTTTTCTTTTTTTGATTAAGTTTGCAAGTTAATACTATCGTTCTACATCTAATCTGTACAATCTCTCAATAGCGTTAACGTAACACTTACCTACACGTTGTGTTCATACTACCTTCAGGTGAGTAGGCCAAGGTATAATTAACAAAACCGTGCAAGCTGTTATTGTTATAAGAATAGAGTAATTTCGGTAGAAACTCTGACGTAAACGCTATCAGAAATGCCTGAAATACATGTATTTAATTTAAAAATTTTGTTAAAAAGATTAAATTTGAAGAAGTTGAACATAAGCATACATTGCTGATGACCGCTAAATGAGCCAAAACTTGAAGGATCGTATACCAAATCCCAATATTCTGAGCTCGTTCTGCTACACTTCTACGCGTTTCGCATACAAATTTATGAGCATCCAGACGTATTTCTACCCAATTGTTTAACAGAGCAAAGAGAGGAGCCAGAGGAAATGCCACAACAAAGATGGTGATGAAGCCGAATTGAAGAACTGCAATGGAAATTATTCAGCAAATCAATAGAAAAGTAGATAAAACATTAAAAAGCTGATGATGACTTTTACCCATTTCTAGATATTCTTGAAATAATCCTTCGCATTTTATCATGCGGTAATCTTGGTTCCATTGTGAAGTGTTTTCTGTTCTGTTCTGCTTGCATAATTTGGTTTTTCTTCTGTGCCACCATGTTTTAATTTTTCTGAAATTTTAAAAACACATTTATAATAATATATTAAATTACATTATTGAATTTTAAGTCTAAAATTAATTGCTTCGATCTTCATTCTTGAAGTAAAATTTGAAGAACGGTTACGTTAAATGTTTAATGTGTGACAAAAGCTAAAAATCGGGAACATCTAGAGATTCGGGAGCACCCAAGTGAGATCAGGAACAACGTAGAAGATGTTCTTGGAGAAAGAGTAGGATACTTCTTAAATCAGGAGCACCAAATGAAATCAAGAACAACGTAGATGTTCTTGGAGAAAGAGTATGATATCTCTCCAATTAGGAGCACCAAATGAGATCAAGAACAACGTAGATGTTCTTGGATAAGAAAGAGTAGGATACCTCTCCAATCAGGAGCACCCAAATGAGATCAGGAACAACGTAGATGTTCTTGGATAAGAAAGAGTAAGATACCTCTCCAATTAGGAGCACCCAAATGAGATCAGGAACAACGTAGATGTTTCTGGATATCAAAGAATATCTACGTATTCTGTATAATGTTTAAAGATTCTTAGATGTTCCTTATTTACATTAATATCTATGGTAGAATCTTTAAATATCATACAGAAATACATTATATAGTATTATTAAATAATGTTTTTTAGTCAAACATTATTTTTATTCTGTAAATAACAATTTTAAACTGATATTTTGCACAAATTTCCTTCGTGTTGTAGCTCTACACATAATCTTTCAATAAAATCATTTATTTTTTATTATCGCTTATTATAAATATTTATAAAATGAAATTGAGAACTATAACAAATTCTACACATAAGTAATGTCTTTAAATTGAACGTAATTAAGAATTTTTGTTTTTCCTTTCATCTATAATAAATTCTAGATTGGTACATGCTATAAGAATACAGAAATAAATTAATCTAGAGAACCGAAAATTACGGGTAATGAATGCTTTCAGTTTAAAAGTTGCGAAAAAGAGCTCTAAAAGTTACCACTACGGGACTTACGGCGTTGCGAGCTAAAAAAGTACATAGCATATGTACACCTGGTATGGTTTGCATTTCTGAGTATACGCTGCCAATGCTGCGAGTGCACTTAAAGAGTTACACCTAAAAAATTGAGCTGCTCTTTGATGTTAGCAGGTTCCACAGTCTCTTAGTGGTGAGTTTTAGAAATATAAAATTCGATTGAGTTTGAACCATAGCATATTCCCCCAGACATCGTTGAATCTTCTTCTTTATCTTCGCCTTTTCCCTTGTTTATATGGGGTCGGCGTTTCCTTCTCTAATACGTTTCCTCCGTTTCTCCCTATCAAGGTCTTCTTCTCTCTTAAGTCCCCTCTGATTCAAGACTTCTTCTACCTTATCTTTCCAACGCATCTTTGGTCTTCCTCTTTTCCTCTTTCCTTTTACTACGAGTTTCTGACCCTCTTTCCAACACAATCTTCACTTCTTCGCTCTACGTACACTTCAACCTACGTTCTTGCATCTTCCTGGTCAATGCCCACTTTAACAGAACCCCTAATAGAATCGTTCCTTATTTTATCCTTCCTTGACACTCTACATTTATCTCAACATTCTCATCTCCGCCACCTCCATTTTTCTTTCTTGGGCTCTTGTTATTGCCCATGTCTCAGCCCCATATAACATTACAGGTAAAACAAATGATTTCTACAATTTACCTCTTAGCTTGTGGCTAACTTTCTTGTCACATAATACACCGCTCAGCTTCCTCCAGTTCATCCAACCACATTGAATTCTACGCTGCACTTCTAAGTTCAATCCTCCCCATCTCGACAAAGGTCCCAAGATACTTAAAACTAGAAACCAAAAGGAGCGGCACAGTTTGGATTTTAATACTGTATTGCACTCGTCCCTGACATTCAGAGTCATGTAAGCTGTTTTAGTTCTACTAATCCTCATGCCTCTTTCTTCTAAAACTTTCCTCCAATCTTCTTAGCCTTGGTTTGGGAAGGTTCACGCAGCACAATATCATCAGCAAACAGCATACGCCACGGAACCTCACACTTCACGTCACACACCAACACGTCCATTATCGGGTCAAACAAATAAAGGCTAAGGGCCGATCCGTGATGTAAACCAACATTAAAGAAGAACCCTTCTGTAGTGCCCACGCTACTCTTGAGTCTGTGCTCCCTCGTACATTTCCTTGACGAGCCTAACATATTTTTTTTGAAAGATTCTTTTCCCTCAAACATCTCCATATCTCTTGCCTTGGTACCCTAACATACGCCTTTTCCAGATCTATGAACACCTTGTGCAAATCTTCAAGTATTTCCCTGTGCCTTTCCATTAGCTGTTTCAAGGTAAAGATAGCATCAATGGTACACCTTCCCGGCATAAAGCCAAACAGTTCCTCTCCAATCTCAGATCCTTCGACAATTTTCTCCCAAATCTTCATAGTATGGGACAATAACAATAACAATAAACATAAAGATAATTTTAATAACATTACACTTTAGTAAATACTTACGGTATGATAATTTCCTGTGCGTTATTAATTATCTGCTTCCCTATCATGATAACAGCTAATTGCTGCGCTAGTTCTATAAAGCAACCGTTATTGCCACACTTAAAGAGAAATTAATTTACATAAATTTCATGAAATTCACAAATTAAAATATACAAATCGCAACTCACAGTTTCCAATCTCAAATTGAATATTTTATGGTAATGACCGGGGTATCCCGAAAATCTAAAAAAAAAAATTCATTTTAGAAGGTTATTGTCGACAGATGCTGAGCATTCGAGTGTGATTTACCTTCCTTTGAAGAATGCAATATAGAAAATGGAGGAATAAAAGTTGACAAACTGAAAAAGGAATACTTTAAATGTCAAATTGTTCTCGAATTCTGTCTGGGTCCTGTGCATTTCTATAAATAACAGTAAAGTATTCACTGATTACGGTTATACTTATACCATTAGAGGCTATATAAAATAAAAATTTACCCCATTCTGTCAGTTTTAAAGCGATGTTTTCATAAATTCTTCCCATGATCATGATGAATAACAGATTGATGCACGCTCCCGATAAGCTAGCGATAACGGGTGCCATACCGCGAAATGGTTTGTACTGAAAGAGTGGTATCGATACGAGGAGACGGTACACGATCACTGCAAACACGAACACCACGACTAGACTGACCTATAAAACTATGAAATTGAACACCACAATAGTCCCGAATACGTTTCTAACCCTTTGCAAAGCGCTTACCATGAACAATAAGACCCCTACACCCGCAGTTAAACGTATGAATCGTTTACTTGTTGGAAAAGCTGGTTCTTTGGTACCTGTAATGGCGTTTCGTAAGATTAGAGGAGCTTTGGCTGCGAATTCTGGACGTGGCCTTTCCTAAGTAATTAAATAATTTGCATTATTAGCAATTTTAATTAAATTTTAATTGAGTTTTTCTTGAAAACACCAACCACTTCTTCAAAATCCATACAGTCCCAATGATGAGCTAAAGATATGCTTTTTCTCTTCCAATATTCTAAGAATGCTATCGCTGCAATAAATGGTATTTTAAGTACAATTATGAGTAAATCTCGTAATAAATTAAAGCTTACCCCAAAATGCCATGAATATGGAGTAGAAAACGGTTCCAGCTTGATCAAACAGATAACCAATTCTGACAAAGATGCAAGTATCACTGAGATGCCAATACTTGCACCCTGGTTGTCTCTCTTCACATAATGGACACATTAGATACTGCTTACCACTTTGACAAATTTCATTACTGCGGGCATAAAGAAACGTATGCAAAATTTATCAGTATGCAATTTAATAGTTTATTTACCTTGGCAGATCACTTTGTATGGTGCACACTCCGTACAGGAAAACCAAAAGTCCGACTACCGATGCTGGGAGTAGCCAAGCAGTATAAAAACCTGATGTATAGTAAAATTAACTTTAAGAACATAGAAAAATAAAATTGTATGCATAATTATTAAATAATCTTTATAAATTATTCATTTTGAATGCATAAGAAGAAGGAAAAATTAGTAAACGTGGCCTCACCCAACCATGCAAAGTAAATGGCAATTTTCTCTCCAAAGTATTCCCTTATGTGATCCAAAGGTTGATACTTGTACCATCTTCCCCATTTGGCCCAATATTCATATAAAACTTGGCGTCTATTCAGATCTTTGGGCTGATATTCTTCAGGAAGTTCGTAAGGACCCTGAAAATCTCAAGCATCATTTTCTGCGCTGCATAAGAATGGGTTATTTTTATGCTAATTACTCTTACGTCGTGTAATGGAAAGGCATCAGTATATACATTCTCCTCTACTAAACGTTCGATTCCAACTTCTCCCTTGCTTCTTTTACCATAAACGATATTTTTTAATATTTCATTCACTACTTGACTCCTCTGTACCGAAGTAAAGAACTCTTCTCTATTTTCTATACCTAGAAATCTATTCATAAAAATATTTTAAGTGGAAGAACATTAAAAAAAATGCTTTAAAATAGAATTTTTAGTTAAATTTACTTCTCCATTTTCGATTTTTTAAAGGCGCACGTGTAGTAATCTGGAGGTTGATTAGGAATTGATATGCTGCATATATTTAGTATGTGTAATTTCTTCAGAATTCTCTCGCTCCAGTTCATCGTGGTGTTCGGGTTTACCTGATTAATTAATTATTTTTTAAAAAAATTAAATAATCGTATATTATGGAGAATATATTTTTTGAATATTTACTTGTAAAGGAGCCCTAAAGCATAATTCTTCTGCATAGTCTATCAGAAGATGCCAAGGAGTACTTAATTTGATAAAATGAATATTTTTCTCACCCTCCATCACTTCCTGAAATGATAATATCAGCATAAATTATAATTATTCCTTTATTTTTATGGTAATATCAGGTACACTCTTCCTTTCTGATATGTTTTGGTGCATCAAAAGAGTAAAATGAAGGGCTGTAAACGAATTCTAAGCACCTGAATGTGGGGTGTATAAAGAGGAAAGGTTAATCTTTGGGAAATGATTCCTCATAAATGGAGTAAAAAAAGTTCATGAGGATTCGTCGATCACTTCGAAAACCTTCTTCAATGTCATCATTCCATCTTGTCTTGCATCATTAATACATGATATGCCAAACTGTAAAGCGTTCATACAACCAAATCCTTTGTTAATATTAATAAATTACCATAACTTCACGTCGATTTTTTAAAGACATTATCCCATACATTCACTTTTCCTCTTTAATTAAATGCCCTGTATAATGGATATTGATTGAAAAATCATTCTACTTTATAGAATGAAACAATCTTTGTAGAATCTGGAAACAAAGAATGGAAGATCAAGGTAAATTGTTGAAAGGTTATGGAAGATCAAGGTAATTTGTTAAGAGGTTATGGAAGATCAAGGTAAATTGTTAAGAGGTTATGGAAATCAAGGTAAATTGTTAAGAGGTTATGAAGATCAAGGTAAATTGTTAAGAGGTTATGGAAATCTTTATAACTAAAAATTAATTGGTTGATTTTATTTTTTACATAAAAAGTTTTTTAAATAATCAATATAACAAGTTAAATTAAATTCAGGTCAACAGAAAGATAATTAAACCTATGCTAAATTTTAATTGCTACTTAGCCAATGAATTAGGACCGTACATAATTAATTAAATGATAATAATGTTTTAATTAATTATCAGTATATAGATGCAGTTTATAGTGCTAATAAACTCGGAAATTTCTTATTTAGAAAGCATTACTTTAATTAACACACTAATTGTAGGTAATTCTTTCTGGGTATTCTCTTTTGCATTACACACAGTATTAATCAGGCACGAATCCTGTTTAGTGGTTCTATCCACTCGACCCTTGGTGGCCCTCTTTTTTAAAAAGAGTGATAGATAGCCCTACGAGCTATTCAACATTAAACCTTTAAAGTACATCTATAATACATGAAATTTATAATAATCTTTTAGGTTGGCAAGGTGTGAACCCACGACTAACTAAGTGTTCAGTTAGGTTCTATCCACTGGACACTGGTGCACTATTGGGCATGACGAATATTGATACAATTGGGTGCATATCAAAATTATCTTATTTTTAAAGATTAAATTTAATCACGATCATACCTCTTCCATTTCTAAACCAGAATTTCTTAGATTGGATTCGAACCTTCGACGCCATTCTTCGATTTTTTGATCTTTTTGCGATTTCTTCTCTTCATAAACTAACACGAAATCTAAAAAAATTATTTTGTAGTAAATTAAGGAAATATTTAATTTATAAAAATTCTTATCAAATATCATTTATTACATTCAAATTTTCGCGAATTTCACGAGAAAACAAAGCTAACAAATACGTCATCTTGCCCCCTTTCTTGTATCACGCGATAACTTTAACCAAAACTTATAAATATACGAAATTAGGAACCAATAAATCAGCAATTAAATTGAATATTAATTAGTTAATTCCAAACCAATTTTCTTCTCTCCATCATTAAAAAGGGATCCTCTTCTATTGGGTATTGTCACAATTGTATTCATATTCCTTTTTTCATTGTGCATCCTTAAAGGGATGTCTTCAATTTTGAAGGAACCATAATTTGATACTGTAGAGTCGTCCTTGTGATTGATTACTGATTCTTCTTCCTGAGGTTGATTGGCACTTGTTGTTTCTTCAGTTTCTACCGTTTCTGATTCGGATACCTCGACTTCTACATTGCTCTCTACAATTTTCCTGAAAAGGAGGAAGCACTTTTTTAAATAAAAAACAAATTAAAAATAAGGCTATCTTCACTAAAACATACTTAATTTTATCATAGAACTCTGATCAAGCAGCTAGTAGATCCAACAAGTGTTCAAGAAATAACGTTTCCTGAAGGAAATTCGTTTATCAATTGATTAAAACAAACACAGAAATGTTTTTTTCTTCTTTGTTTTATCAGTATCCTGCTTTAAATATATAGTTTACAGAGTGAAGGAAGTGTTACTTAAGTGTTTTCTTTTTTAAATTTACTCTTGTTTAATAACACTAGTTGTGATTTATAAGTTTTAACTTATCCTTATTCATCATCCTCTTCAATAGATTAATGTTACTTCTATTGAAGTAAATAAATGGATTTACCAAATACCGGGTGGTCAAAAAATCAGTTAACTGTCAATTTAGGACAACTGATTTTTGGCCCGTCCCGTATGTTAATTTATCCTTATACAATCACAGTAGGGTAGACAGATTCTTACATCTACTGTTTAACTTACTTTTAGGCCATTTATTTATATTTAAATGTATAACTGTGTGGCCTAAAAGTAACTTTTCTTACTAACAAAACAACATATTACAAAAATTATTTTAAGTAAACTCTATGTAATTTATAATACTGTATTTTATATCTATTCTTATAAATTACTTTCATATTACTGACATAGTACTTGTATGTAGCCTAATTTTATCGTTAATAATATTACTCTACAATTGTTCCTATTAATTTAATCACGAATATAATAAAAATAATATTGTAAATGAATTTATTTGTTTACTTTATTCGTGCAAAGCGTTTTGCAAATATATTAATTTTATTTACTCTAATAAATAGACTAATGTATTTATCTTGCTGAAGTGCAGTGTCTTACATTTCTTCAAATAACTGAACTAATATATTCATCTTAATGGTACACTCCATCTTTTAAATACCCCTATAAATGGGTATTCTTACAAATACCTTCATAAATGGATTAACAGACTTGTACTGATACACACCATCTTACAAGTGCTTCTGTAAATATACTAGTAAAGGTATCTTACTGATACACACCATCTTACAAGTGCTCCTGTAAATATACTAGTAAAGGTATCTTACTGATACACACCATCTTACAAGTGCTCCTGTAAATGTACTAGTAAAGGTATCTTACTGATACACACCATCTTACAAGTGCTCCTGTAAATGTACTAGTAAAGGTATCTTACTGATACACACCATCTTAAAAGTGCTCCTGTAAATATAGGCCTACTAATAAAGGTATCTTACTGATGAACACCATATTACAACATATTATCCTTCTTCATGCCACCTTACAGTAACACAGAACATTATGTTACTTACACACACCTTTACATCATCCCCTCTCGTTACATAATCACTAATTCGATCGTTCCGATAATCTCGTATAAGAAAACGTTCGATATACACCGTAAATTACTGTTAAATACAAAATTATAACATTTAATTTCCGACATTTTTATGATCCAACGAACTCACGTGGTCCTTAACTTAACGAGCAACAGTAAATACCTTTTTATTGATGCGTACTACACGTCACTTAATAGACGTTTAGGAAATGTGCAACTGGAATTTACCATTTAACTAAAGTCTACGACTGTAAAATTCGTATAAAATACTTAAAAAACTTACTCTTTAACACCCTTTTCGCCTTTCTTTTTAATAAAATATTTTCTTAAAAAATGAGCCAACGATTTCTTCTTTTTTCTCCTAGCCATATTCTACTACATATATGTATGTATATATAATACTGCTAATTTACTGCTTTGGCACATGGTTACTCTATAACATGTGCCATTCGTTGACCGTTACGGTCACGTGTCTCGCCTTGGCTTCGTCCTATAGAAATGGCGTAACTGACACTTTTATAGCGAACACGTGACATCTTTATGCCATTTTAATAACGGTAAATTTACTGTATTTTTTTCTTTTAAATTTAATTGTAAAATTAAACTGTAATTATTATTAATTTAATCAATAAATTTATATAAGTTAATGTTATTTTTAACTGGATGCAGTTTTAAATTAGGAAATTAAATTTATTGTTTTTTTTATACAGGAATATAATTTGTTTAGTAAGATTTTCTGCTAATAAATTATTAAAAATAAAGCTTTTGTAGTATAAAAAAAAACACTACGTTAGTGTCAATGTTAAAAGTAACAGGTGATGTGATTTCGTGAAGTTACGAGTCTCCTGATTGGCCAAATTGACTTGTCCGGTTACTTACCTTTCCGGCTGTTATATGTCAATAGGTAAAAAAAAAAATGACCCTCAAGATTTTTACATTTTTAAACTAGGAGGTCCTCGAGAAATACGAAGAAATTTGGGAGTTTTTTTCCTGTGTTTGTGGGGGGCACGATTTTATTCATCTACTTTGAAGCTTAATAACTCCTGTACCTTTTGTCGAAATTTTCTGAAAGTTTGCTGAGAGGTTTGAGTATTGGGGTGGAATGTTTGTAGAAATTTTCAGAAAAATCGGATTATCGGTTCGGGAGATATGGCCCACTCCTTTAATATCTCCCGAACAAATCTGAAGGCTTATAAAGGTAACGATCGCAATTATTAGGGATGAAAACAAATATAGAATGCTTTGAAAGTTTAGTAACAATGTTGTCAGCTTTTTCTAACAGGCGAGAAAATTTGCTTCTTGAATTAAAAGACGTGGGTTCGGTCCCCACAACAACAATAAAAAAAAAACACTTTTTACGTTACTTCGCTTGTTTTTTTGGTGTAAATACTTCGTTAATTTGTATTCTTAATGCCACTTTCTTTAGAATTACACTTTAATTTACTTAATAATTAGAAATTAATTCGTATTTCGTTGAAAAATCGTTCGAGTTTTTATTAAATTTGTCAAAGATGCTGAGTCCAGAATCAAAAAAGTATGTTTTTTACTTTATCCTTAAAGAAAGAGGTAGTGATATAATAACGGAAGTGACGTAGAGAAACTTTGTTAAGCTGAATAAATAGTCTTGACCAATTTCCGTTTAATTTCTTACTTAAAACAATAAGGAAATTCCGTTCATTTTTCTTGGAATTTACTGGCAAAGATCGATTCTGAAAGTGGATTAAAAGTAAAGAAATTGTAAAATGTGGGTTCGGTTCTCCAGATGAGAACCGAACCCACGTCACACGATACCCTTACAACATATAAAGTATACATACAAACGAAAAAATAAATCAATATCTAGAAAAAACTATTTGCATATACAAGTCGACCCCCTTATAACACTGTTGATTATTCCGTTTTATATGAATTCCATGTTGTACGAGTCACTTAGATTTTACAAATACGTGTGCCAGGCTGTGAACGGCTTACGTATTTGTAAAATCTAAGTGACTCGTACAACATGGAATTCATATAAAACGGAATAATCAACAGTGTTATAGAAGGGGTCGACTGGTAAATATGTGTTCTGTTCGCTGTACAGAGAACCGAACCCACATTTCTGTTTTTATTTAAAAAAAAAAGGTTAATATCGGTACATTTATTGATTCCCGAATACCGATGAGCCACGTATTTAATATTTATACAGAAAATTCGTTCACAAGTATCTACTGGGGCTATTTAGGAGGGCGTTATATCGACGTTTGACTGTAAGCCATAACTCCCGTGCTTTTGGTCGAAAATTTCTGAAATTTTTCAAGGAGGTTTGGGTATTAGGGAGATTGATTCTATTAAATTTTGATGGTTAAAGGTCGACGGGGTGGGGAGATAAAAGGAATCGTGTGTCGTATCTCGAGTACGGTAATGACGATTTCACTCATTATTATCATTTACAATCTTTTAGAAAACTTCTCCGTACCCTTATAATTAAGTTTCTTGCCATTTTATAATAGTTAAAAATATAAAAAGTGTTTAATAAAAAAATATCGTAACAGATGACGCAACGCANTATTTCATTAGTATTTAATATTTACAATTTTTAAAGCAACTGTTTATTATCCTTCAAATTAAACATTTTGCCATTTTATAGTAATTAAATATATCAAAAGTAAACAAACCTAGTAACAGATGGCGCCACACACAAGTTTATTTATTTTACGTTCACGTTTTACGGATGAAAACTTCGGCCGCAACCTCGCTAATAATTAATAATATAAAACGTTTTTAATAATAAAATATAGTAACAGATGGCGCCACACAAGCAGTTTTAAATGTTGCCGGGAAAGTTAAGCAACTCGCTACTGGATTTTTCTCTATACCTCCTATAAAATGAATTGTAGGATGCAGTGAGATCGTAATAAAATGATTTAAACTTCATTTAAACTGCAAATTCCTTGATACAAAATTTTGTGGACATCAGTGGCACGTTATACGAGGTCTGTTCAAAAAGTATCGGACCTTTGGTCAGAAAAAATAAATTTATTGATTTTGAGGTACAAAACTATAATCCCCTTCAAAGTAGTCTCCTTGGTAGTGTATACACTTCTCCCAGCGTTCCTGCCATTGCTGGAAACACTGCTGGAACGCATCTTTTGGAATGGCCATCAGCCGGTCCGTCGCATTCCGCACGATGTTTTCTCTCGACTAAAATCGGGTTCTTTTTAGCGGCATTTTCAGCTTGGGAAATGGCCAAAGGTCACACGGAGCCATGTGGGGAGAGTACGGAGCGTGACGAACCACAGGAGTGTTGTGTTTGGCGACGAAAGCCCGAATCAGATGCGCAGAATGGGCGGATGCGTTATCACGATGGAGTTGCCAAGTTTTGATCGACCACAGATCCGGTCGTTTGCGTCGCACAGCGTCGAAAAGACGACGAAGGACCTCCTGGTAGTACTCCTTTGCAATGGTTCGGCCTCGTGGTGCGTACTCATGGTACACCACCCCACGAGAGTCGAAAAAACTGTCAACATGACCTTCATATTGCTGCGGGCCTGCCGCGCGTTTTTTGGCCTCGAGGATCGTCCCCGAAAGCCTGCTGAATCTTGCGAATGGTTTACGCTCGGGTATCGCCAAGGTTTTTGGCAAAATTTGATGTAATATCGCTGCTCACGTTGTTCAGTCATTTTCCAACTTACAAGTTAGTGGAATCTGACGAGAGCTCGCTACATGACCTCACTCACAGGCCGACTGACAACGACTGACGTTTCCTGCAGGCGGAAAAAATTCAGGGCTGTGCATGACTGTCCCCTCCACAACTCCATCAAAAGAGGCCTCCGCGCATCATTGGTTTACGCGGAAAAAATAAAAGTCCGATACTTTTTGAACAGACCTTGTATATGGGCAAAATGAGCAAAGATTGGTTTTGGGCTCCTTGTCGGTGGATGCCCTCAAACCAATCTTTCACAAGAAAATATCTTTCCTCTCAAAAAAATTGTTTGAAGTCAAGCTTTGCGCAGAGGCGATATCGTTACTAATGAGGTTTGAGCCGAAGTGCGATTATTGCTAGTTGAAAATTGTTTGAAGTCAACACTGTAGGTCTACATGGGACCTCTGCATTCAAATTTGCGGTCTCTTGAAGCTACCGAGTATAACGTGCCATTGGTAGATACTGTATTTTACAAGGAGAATTCTCAGGGTTTGTGTATTTAAATACATTTGTATTATTTTATTCGTCATGTTGAACAAATGTCTGCGAAATATAATTACCACTAAATTTTCAAAATGACAAATTTATAGAATAAATCTTTGATGGATGATTAATACAGAGTCCAGCTTAAGTATCCTCATAAAGGTGAAGGCATGCACTTAAATCTATCAAATGCTGCCTTTTCTAACTTTTCTCTATCATCCGGATGAGCAATTCGAATTAATTCGTAAGCTCTGTGTCTTAGAGTCTTGCCAAAAAGATTAGCAATTCCATATTCTGTAACTACGTAATGGACGTGGCCACGCGTGGACACAACTGCCGATCCTGAAAATTTCATCAATTTACTGGAAAATCTTTCTAAATGTCTTTAATCTTAAATATTTTTTGGTCTTCTACTTACCAGGTTTTAAATGAGGTACGATTTTGGCTTGTCCTTTATTAGTCCTCGAATGTAAAACGATTATGGGCTTTCCCTTTCTGTCTAAACTTTCAGCAGTTCCTCTTAAAAAGTCTACCTGACCTCCAAATCCTGAAAAGAACACTCGAACTATCACTTCTTATAATAAACATTGTAACTTTATGAGAATTAGCTATATAAATGATACCTTACCTGAATAAATATAAGATCCAATACAGTCGGCTGCAACTTCTCCAGCTAAATCAATCTCGATGCATGAATTAATGGCCACCATTTTGTGATTGGAAGCGATCACTCCTGTGTTGTTAGTGAAACTGATATCCCTCATCTCTATATTATAATTAAAAAATTGTCACTACGTGGGGATAATAGAAGGCCTACTACAAGATTTTGAATGTGTTCCGATGCTAAAATATCTTATAAAGTTCAAAAATTAACATGAATTCATTTAAAATTTTCAAATGGAACGTTACTACGTACCGACACATACGTTGTTATTTAAAAAATCATAAAGTTTCTTAGTTCCTCTAGTAAAAGACGTAACTATCTTTCTTGGAATAACGGTTTTAAATCGATTAGTAATGGCACCAGAGTTAAATAGATCGACAACTCCATCACTGAACATTTCGGTATGAAAACCCAAATTCCTGTGTTGATTAAGCGAAGCCAATATGGCGTCGGGAAGAGATCCAACACCTAAAAACATTATGATGTACTGTATTTATAATTAAAATTAGAATATGTTTACGAATAGCAACGTGCATAGTCTTACAATGCGAAGCATTCTTATGCTACCGACTGTACGATCAGACAATTTTGCCAGTTATGGGCTAACTCCACTGCAGATCGACCGGTATGAAGGTATTAAAGATTAATGAAATAAGGCAACGCAACACTTGAGTGATAGGACTTTCTATAGGGAAACTGGCCTCTATTTAGGTGTTAGAAAGATGAAAAAAATCTGGTAAAACCCACGTTGGTGAGGCGCGAACCTGCGACAAACTGTCTACGTTCAGTGGTTTCATCCATTCGGCTCCAGTATGAAAGATGGAAAACGACATGCTGACTCAAAATATCGGAGAAAAATCAGACGAAACATGGACTTTCACTTCTTTCTCGTTGGCATACAGCTAAACTATCTTATATTAATTAACAATACGTTAGCGAAGCGTGTTGCTATCAGGAGTGCACGTAAATTGGGCACTTGTGGCACGTGCCCCATTTCGTCCGGGTTACCCTTTACCTAATCCCAAAAGGTGACCTCGGATTTTATTATTAACAAACAGTAGAAACTTCATGATTTCTAGCAAGCCTATTCTGCAAATATAAAAGAAACTAAAGAACGATATTTGTCCATTGTATGTTGACCATAACCACATTCCTTGTTTACGAGGCCAATATATCCCCGAGTATAATCATCACCATCTTGTGGAAGCGCTGATCCGACGTTGAATCATCGAGTATGAAGCTTCTTACATAACGTACGATGTCTTTTTTTATAGCTTGTGCCCCTTCTTTTCATAGTCTGCGGATGCCGCTGGTATGCTATTCTTATACTGTATTTCGAAACTTTTTTTCTAGAATGGTATATCACTTACCTGTCTGGAGTGTTGAACCATCATCTACTAGATTATCCGCAAGTAATTTTCCTATTTTTAAATCAGTTTCTGAATACTGCTTCAGTTGTACTTGTGGTAACTCATGATGCCCTTCTACTAAGAAATCAAAGCAGTTGACGTGAACTTGACTGTCACCAAAGGTTTTAATTTGGTAAGAATTGACTTGTGCTATTACGTGAATAATTATAATTACACACGGCTTCGTTGAAAACGTAAACATATAATTCAAAAATTATGCAATACCTATAACACATTTGGCTGTTTCTATTGCAGCTCTGGTAGATTCTACGCAACCTCCCAAACTACAGAAACCACGTTCATCCGGTGGTGATACTTGAACCAATGCAACATCAACAGGTTGCTGGTGAAGGAATAATGGAATATCCGTGATGAATATGGGTACATAATGAGCCTTTCCGGTATTTATAGCTTCACGTATATTTGGACTAACGAAAACTACGTTGCAATGAAATATATCTGTAAATATATATCGAATAAAATGAATAACAATGATGATGAATAGTGAATACAAAGATTGATTTTCATTTATGTTACCTTGATATTCTGGTTTCAGATATTCGACATCTCCATACATAAAATGAAGATAGTTGGATAAATTTTTGAGTCGTGAAGCTTTGGCATGATGCACCATTGCTGCTACAAGTGTTCGAGGAGTCGAAGATATGGCTTGCACATATAGTCTATCACCTGTAAGGAATTCGTTTAAATATAATTTTTCGGTTTTTAGTACTGTATTTAAATAGAAATTGAATTTATAGAGAACTTGTACGTCATTTCATATGACCAAATCGTTATCGCTCCGCTTCCTGCGCCATATTTGTGCTGTGCTATTCGTGGAGGTGTATATGGTTTGGCATGCATCTGAACGTTTATCACGTGTAAAATATGGCAAAACACGAGGTAAACTATAGGAACATTTGTACATTTTTGGACTGAGAAGACGTTGAGTCCAAGGAACCATACAAAAGCATACAAATCACTTGAAACTCAATTTTGTAGCAACTGACTCGCTGGGTTGATTTGAAGATTTTGGTGAAGAGTTCTTCAGAACATATCTTTTCTAGCAAGAGAAATTTACGTACATTAAAAAACTATGACACATCGTCGTAGTTTTATTGCACTGACCAAAAATGTACATTTAATGATAGTTTTATTGACCATTGTATAGCAAAACTTCGAAGTGCTGTGTGGTAATTTTTTTGTTTCTAATTGTCGAATTTGTTTTAAAATTTACTTACACCGTATCTCTTCATCAGGTGAACCACTCAAAGTTTACACTTTCTCCCATTTAAAGTTTGGTTACTCTGTTATGTATTGAGTGAGGTTAAAACGGAAGGGGCAAATGAGCAAGACGTACATCCTGAACGCCAATACGTCACATGCAATTTGCCCATAAAGAAGGATTTTTTTGAACTCTTCCGCTCCGTGGTACTGAGTCTTTTTAACAAGTAACTCATCCGGATGGTGAGGGACAGAGCCTGACGTGTTCGGACGGGCCAACCCCTAAAAAATTCCTGACGTTTTTCGACCATTCTGGATTACATCACGATTACAGCTGGTACCTCTTTGGGGGCCAGCTGCCATCTAACTTCTCGACCATCTGGCGTTTATAAAGATAGCAATATGCTGTGAGAGACTGTTTTTATTATTGTTTATAGAAATTACCCCCAAAAAATATGCATCTTATAATTTTTTGCCTCCTCTCTGAGTCTATAACTTTGAAAGTTACTCCGTCGCCTGTTTTCACCTCACACGGACTGGCCATGTAAAGTTGTCTGCGTTTTCTTCACGTCTCTAATACCTAAATAGCACCGAATTTCTCACAGAAAATACTCCGGGAAGGCACCCCGTTGTCAGATCACCCAAGTCCCTTATTCCATTAATCGTACAATCCTTTTAATTATTTGAGTAGATCTACTCGAAGTATGACGAATGAGCGATCTTCAGAGGGGGAATGCCTCCCAGGCAGACTTTTATGGGAAACTGGCCCCTATTTAGGTGTTTTCTTCTTCTTGGTGCCATATCAGATTCCTGACGTCGGCGACACCTGGCGTAGGTTAGTAACCCGCCAAGGTGTATACTAGGGAAAGTTACTACCCAGAGTGGTTTCCCGTTGCCTTCTATGGGGCGCGATGTTACGCGAGGGGAACTAATGCCTTCCGGGAGGACTTTTATGGGGAACTGGCCTCCTATTTAGTCGTTATTGGCAAGGAGAAAACCCGGAAAACTCCAAGCAGCCAGCCTGTCCGATCGCGGCGCGAACCCACGACCGAACTCCCAGTGTTTAGGGTACGAAGACCACTCGGCCACTGGTGGGCATTTAGGTGTTACTGACGTGAATAAAACCAGGAAAACACGTGGCCAGACTCGAACCCACGTCCAACTATCAATGTTCAGCGATTTTATCCACTCGGTTATATTGGTGGGCCGAAAAAAACTATGAACCTCTAGTTTTCAATGTCTGTAAATAAAGCGTGGATCATCTTGGCCAAAATGGCTCTTGCGCTATTAAAATTCAATCAATCTGTAAGTAAAGCTTATGTTTTAAAACTAAACAATATTGATATAATATTTTAGAACAACTATAGATACAAGAAATTTATTTTATCATTAGATAATTTAGAATTATTGAGATAACTCACCAGATTTAATTACAGAAACAGCTTCTTCTGCTGAAGTCCATTTACTTTGTCTCCTTGGATAGTGATTAGGATTTTGAGAATAAGTAAAATAGCTTCTTGCAATAATAACTTTCTTCTTTAGTAGAGAAACAATTCGATTTAAATTATTACACGAAAGTAACGAAGCATTTGTAAAACGTCGAATCGCCATTGAAGAATCTTAGAAAAATGGTTCTTCTGCTCGTCAATATCAGCTTGAATATATTCATTTACACGTTAGGATGGTTTGGAAATTTCATTCCTTTCCGTTAAATTATTATTGAATAAAATACTTTATATCAAGTGGAATATGGGACGGCTGATTATTATTATCATCGAGATAAGATTTATCCTCTATATCAGATTAATAAAGAATTTGTTATTGAATTTTTATCGTTTTAATTATTCTTCTTATTTAACAAATTAAATTTTCTCTTTCAGCTCACCGTTGCCTACTGGATAATACAAATGATCACTAGCATTTGGTGTGCCTAACGAGCTGCCATGTGGCATTTTCCTGTTTTCTTCACGTGTCTAACACCCAAATAGGATCCAGTTTCTCGTATTGTGTGTCTGGTACCCTATTGTATGCCTGATATGTTGAATCTGTTGCAGTCTGCACCAAATTCAACGCCAAAATGACTGAGGCTTTAGTATAAACGTTTAGGACAAAATCGAAATTTTATTTATTGTGAATTTTAATTAAGGTGAAAATTTATACATAAAAATTGCCGATAGGACATTCTATTTTCTATTCTTTGTCTTCTTCATTTATACTTACGAAACAGAGAAAAGAAATACAATGTACCATACTTAGAAATAACGCTTTGCAATGCATCAATTTCGGAAATAATCTTGTTAAATTTTCTCAAAATATCATTTAAAATCGCTTACGAATTTAAAAAATGGAATTTAATATAGCATAATTGTAGCCTATATAGAGAATTACAACTGTTATTCTTCTCACGGCATCACGAAGATCCATAAAGTTTCATTCGGTTGTTACTTTCCCGACTACTATAACAGAGTAAAGTATGGCCATATTTTTTTTTTTCATTTTTGGACTTTGAGGGACTTGAAACACCAAAAAATACAAAAAATAATGGTTTTTCGTGAATATATGGATGTTGTGTGTGGATTGAGGCACGATTTTGTTTACCCAATTCGAAGCATAATAACTCCTGTGCCTTTTGTCGAAGATTTCTGAAATTTCTGTATCCAGAACACTATTGTTCTTTATTGTCACATTCTTTCAATATTATTTTAATTTATATTATCTTATTTCATTATATGCCATTTACTTCTATTAATTCTATTTATCTGAATACCTATCCCCTTGAATTTGGTAATGAAAATTTAATTTAAACTTGATAAATGAATTCAAATTCTGAAGACATTGGACAGAAGAATCAAATACATACGATTCGCTGTTTCAACTCGATTCTTTAATTAAAGGAATTAAAAAAATAAAAGTTTCCCGATTTCTCTAAAAGATTTGCAATGAGGAACCAAAGAATTGAAGAAACGAAATTGAAATTCACTTCTCTGAAACTCTATTACCATTATAATCCTCATTCAACGTTTCTAATCATTGTTATTTATCAAAATGTTTAGCAAAGCATCCATAATCCTTGATTTTTTGATCAAGGTGAAGGCATGCATTTGAATCTATCAAATGCTGCTGTTTCTAACTTTTCTCTGTCATCCGGATGAGCAATTCGAATTAATTCGTAAGCTCTGTGTCTTAGAGTCTTGCCGAAAAGATTAGCAATTCCATATTCTGTAACTACGTAATGGACGTGGCCACGCGTGGACACAACTGCCGATCCTGAAAATTTCATCAATTTACTGGAAAATCTTTCTAAATGTCTTTAATCTTAAAATATTTTTTGGTCTTCTACTTACCAGGTTTTAAATGAGGTACGATTTTGGCTTGTCCTTTATTAGTCCTCGAATGTAAAACGATTATGGGCTTTCCCTTTCTGTCTAAACTTTCAGCAGTTCCTCTTAAAAAGTCTACCTGACCTCCAAATCCTGAAAAGAACACTCGAACTATCACTTCTTATAATAAACATTGTAACTTTATGAGAATTAGCTATATAAATGATACCTTACCTGAATAAATATAAGATCCAATACAGTCGGCTGCAACTTCTCCAGCTAAATCAATCTCGATGCATGAATTAATGGCCACCATTTTGTGATTGGAAGCGATCACTCCTGTGTTGTTAGTGAAACTGATATCCCTCATCTCTATATTATAATTAAAAAATTGTCACTACGTGGGGATAATAGAAGGCCTACTACAAGATTTTGAATGTGTTCCGATGCTAAAATATCTTATAAAGTTCAAAAATTAACATGAATTCATTTAAAATTTTCAAATGGAACGTTACTACGTACCGACACATACGTTGTTATTTAAAAAATCATAAAGTTTCTTAGTTCCTCTAGTAAAAGACGTAACTATCTTTCTTGGAATAACGGTTTTAAATCGATTAGTAATGGCACCAGAGTTAAATAGATCGACAACTCCATCACTGAACATTTCGGTATGAAAACCCAAATTCCTGTGTTGATTAAGCGAAGCCAATATGGCGTCGGGAAGAGATCCAACACCTAAAAACATTATGATGTACTGTATTTATAATTAAAATTAGAATATGTTTACGAATAGCAACGTGCATAGTCTTACAATGCGAAGCATTCTTATGCTACCGACTGTACGATCAGACAATTTTGCCAGTTATGGGCTAACTCCACTGCAGATCGACCGGTATGAAGGTATTAAAGATTAATGAAATAAGGCAACGCAACACTTGAGTGATAGGACTTTCTATAGGGAAACTGGCCTCTATTTAGGTGTTAGAAAGATGAAAAAAATCTGGTAAAACCCACGTTGGTGAGGCGCGAACCTGCGACAAACTGTCTACGTTCAGTGGTTTCATCCATTCGGCTCCAGTATGAAAGATGGAAAACGACATGCTGACTCAAAATATCGGAGAAAAATCAGACGAAACATGGACTTTCACTTCTTTCTCGTTGGCATACAGCTAAACTATCTTATATTAATTAACAATACGTTAGCGAAGCGTGTTGCTATCAGGAGTGCACGTAAATTGGGCACTTGTGGCACGTGCCCCATTTCGTCCGGGTTACCCTTTACCTAATCCCAAAAGGTGACCTCGGATTTTATTATTAACAAACAGTAGAAACTTCATGATTTCTAGCAAGCCTATTCTGCAAATATAAAAGAAACTAAAGAACGATATTTGTCCATTGTATGTTGACCATAACCACATTCCTTGTTTACGAGGCCAATATATCCCCGAGTATAATCATCACCATCTTGTGGAAGCGCTGATCCGACGTTGAATCATCGAGTATGAAGCTTCTTACATAACGTACGATGTCTTTTTTTATAGCTTGTGCCCCTTCTTTTCATAGTCTGCGGATGCCGCTGGTATGCTATTCTTATACTGTATTTCGAAACTTTTTTTCTAGAATGGTATATCACTTACCTGTCTGGAGTGTTGAACCATCATCTACTAGATTATCCGCAAGTAATTTTCCTATTTTTAAATCAGTTTCTGAATACTGCTTCAGTTGTACTTGTGGTAACTCATGATGCCCTTCTACTAAGAAATCAAAGCAGTTGACGTGAACTTGACTGTCACCAAAGGTTTTAATTTGGTAAGAATTGACTTGTGCTATTACGTGAATAATTATAATTACACACGGCTTCGTTGAAAACGTAAACATATAATTCAAAAATTATGCAATACCTATAACACATTTGGCTGTTTCTATTGCAGCTCTGGTAGATTCTACGCAACCTCCCAAACTACAGAAACCACGTTCATCCGGTGGTGATACGTGAACCAATGCAACATCAACAGGTTGCTGGTGAAGGAATAATGGAATATCCGTGATGAATATGGGTACATAATGAGCTTTACCGGTATTTACAGCATCGCGAGTACTTGGACTAACAAAAAATATGTTGCAAGAAAATATACCTGAAAATATAAATTACCATATATAATAAAGTAAAAGTAAATGCCAAAATTGATTAGTTATGATACCTTTGTATTCTGGTTTTAGATATTCTACGTCATCGTGAATATAGAATAAGTACGTGGTAAGATTTTTGAGTTCTGAAGTTGTGGCATGTTGCATCATTGCTGTTACAAGTTTCTGGGGAGTTGAAGTTACGCTTTGGATAAATATTCTATCACCTGTAACGAAACTATTTAAATACACGAAAAATCCCGGAGTTTTCCGGGTTTTTTCATGTTTCCAATACCTAAATAGTGATCAGTTTCCTGTAAAAAGTCCTCCGGGGAAGCACTCCTTGACAGATCGCGTCGCCTAATCCCATCAATGTAATCAAGCTTAGATCAAGATATATAAAGAGATGTGTTTATTTAAGTAATTTTGCATTCGAATGGATGAAGGCCACACCTTGGCCTTCATCCATTCGATTACTGGTGGGCATGGTTCCAATGGCCCAATGGATAAAACCATTAAACACTGGCAGTCAGTTGCGAATTTGAGACTGACTAATGGATTATCCCCGTGAAGTTTTCTGGGTATTCTTCACCAAAGAGGGAGCTAATCTCCTTATAGGAAATCCTCCCGGAAGGCTCTCTTGACAGGTAATAACAAATTATTAAATCATCTTACAGTATGGCACATTTAGCTTACGCATCGAAGTAATGCAATTTGTATGCACTAACAATATTTATATAAAAATTATAAAGTTAGCAAAGCACATTATTGTTAAATTACTATATTGGAGCTAAAATTATTTTAGTTTTAAGTTAACTCACCAGATTTAATTACAGAGACAGCTTCTTCCGCAGAAGTCCATTTACTTTGTTTTCTTGGATAGTGATTAGGATTTTGAGAATAAGTGAAGTAACTCTTATTGATTATCCTTCGTTTTAATAATGTAAAATCTTGGATAAAGCTATTGCATGAAGGTAATAAAATATTTACAAAACGTCTATTCGCCATCGAGATCTCGTAGAAAAAACATCTGCTTATCAATATCAATCTAGATACAGTTATATATAAATTAGGATGGTGTAATTCTTTGAAAATTGCATCATTTCAGCTTAAAATTATGCATAACACTTTTATAGTTTATTTATATTTTGACATTTCATTAAAAACAACTTGGTTAATCTTATCAAAATTTAATTCGAAAGATAATTCAAATTTCACACATTAAAATAGTCTACAGGGGCAGCCAATAGAGGATCCAGAAATGTTTAGATGGGTGCAGAAAGGAAACAAATACACAAGTTATTTCTACTTGAGTATTTCGCTTTACTTGAGAAAAATCCTCAGAAAGGGAATGCATTTGCTCTCTGTTATGGCAACACAACACTTACTGGGGCGATGCCTTCCGGGAGGTCTTTTTAAAGGAAACTGGCCCCTATTTAGGACGTTACAGACGTGGAATGAAACCGGAAACGTCCGAGCGAGGCGAGAACCCACAATCAAACTACCAGTGTTCAAGGTACGAAGACAGCTCGGCCACTTGCGGGCGCATTTTACGCTCTGTATATCCCTAAATCTTCCATCATTCCATTGCTCTGATAACCCGTAATCTAGTGAGGGTCAGCAATCCCCGAAATTTTTATGGGGTGTCCAGGATATGTCCCTTAACATCCGGTTGTCTCCAACGTGTGCCTAATCGAACCGATTCTGGGCTTGATAAAGGCCATCTTGGTGCCCATGAGGTGCTCTAAGATACTTTTGAATCGAATATCATTTTCGATATTAAAGATAATTTATTTAAAAAGTATAAGATTTATAAATAGATTGATTTCTAATCTTATTGATAATGATTCTTATAAATTTTTTAGTTTATTCGTTGAATTTCGATTATACTATGAAACAGATGTATTAAAAATTCAAAGAATTCTCCATTTCCTGTTTAAAAAATCTTAGAATGTAGATGTTTAGTATACGTTTATCGTATTTACAACGCGTTGGAATTTAAATTATTAAAATTTATAAATAATATATTTTGTTATCTTCAAGAGAGTCTTAACCTTTGAAGTTTGTACTTTTTGATATATGACCTTGATATTAATTACAGATTTTATACTGATTTATCTATAAAATCAAACAAGTGTCATATAAGAATAGAAATATATTTATGTAAGTGTCTAATTGCAGTGTCAATTCAAACTCGAAAGCCGGTTAGCGCCTTTGCATATTTTTAAATTTACGACTATACCCTTGACTAAGAGGGCCTTTTTCCATGCCCATAGTAAGTTTGGCCAGACTCGCAATGGGGAGGCCGGATGGCAAGGGATGGAGACTGGCATATCCGGGTCCGACTTCCCCTGAAAAATTTTTTGGGGAGTTGCTCGCCCCGATTCTCAGAGTGGTAGGCTAGCGTTTGAATTGCCTGGACCGTTCGGCCATTCTTAATGAATTATTGGTACTGATTTTAATAATTCTATAGCTACTCTGTATTATATACAATGCATACATAATGGCTGTTACTGTTATTAAATATTTTATTGTGTTAAAGAGGCTATGAAGTGTTCTGTCGCATGTTTATATGTTTCTCAAATAAATTTCGTTTAAAAATGTAAATAAATGTCTTTTAAAGATTTATTATTTTTTATTTTTTTCTAGGATTATATTTTATAGAATTTAATCATTAATGGTTGTGATTTTTCGGGGTTTTTTGACCTTTCGGGATTTTAACTTTCGGGATTTCGGCGTTCGCGATTATGATCGGCACCGAATGTGAATATATTTGTTTAAATTAATAAAAGCTATTTTGTGAAAGTATGGAGTACGGTACGTCGCATGAGTTACGCATAAAATTTTGGTGCGAAATGGCCTTTATCGACCAATATCTTTTCGATATCTAAATTTATCGAAGTGTCCATTTTTAAAAAAATTCCTTTGGATACTAATTAAAAAGTATTTTTCATATTTCACTTCACATTAATTATAACATCGCATTAAAAAAAACTTATAAAAATTGCCGCATCTCTTCCATTTAAAAATCACTATACTCTCACCGCCGGGTCAGATTAGGTTCATTTATAATATCAATTAAATAAATTTAACCGTTAGATTTAAAATTTTATATTAAAATAATATTCTAATAATTAAAAAAAAATTATAAACATAAAGTAAAATATTATCCTTATTTATATTCTTTAACATATTAAAAAGAAAAAAATTTTCTTTTTTTGTTTACACAGTAAAAATTCATAGAGGAGAAACACCGAAAGTGAAGTGACACCCGGTGTTAAAGTTTTGAACGTTGATAATTTTGAAATTGATTAATTTGTATAAACATGGGTGATGTGCTTCTGTTCGTGTTTTCTGTTTTTGATACTGGAGCTTTATTATTATTAACTGTTTATGTTGTATCCTTTGCTGTGATGTCACTCACGTTTTTCAAGACTATGACAGTTATCTAATACAATTTTATATGCTAATTTATATAGAAACGTCATAAAATATACCTATGCCACTCATTCATCAGCCTGTTTACTAGGAAATCAAGCATAAGTGAAGCATGGTGTGGTGTTAATTAGTATTCAGCAACTGAAATTTTAATAGGGTTTTACGGATAAATATTGAGTTTAATGTACAGATCTATGCATGTTAATTGTGTGAAGAATGGAAACAAGCATTCAGATAATTTTTGTTTGTATTCTCCTCCTCTAGCTTTGTTTACTTCATGTTTCGGATACTTTTATCCATTTCGACAGTTAAAAACATGGAGTAAGTATAGTGGAGTGGACGGTTCCTATACTCTCTATGATTTAAAACTTGTCCACCGCACCGGAGTGATCCTATCGGCTGGGGTGATAATTAACTTTAATGTGCGATGTGTTGATTGGTTGGTGTGCAATAAACGTCTAACCCGTTGCAATAAGCGATGCGTTGATTGGTTGGTGTGTATACCCCAATCGCAAGGATCGCTCGTAGCAGTTGAATGTGATTTTGCCCTCACTGTCCACTCCATTTATACTTTATGGTTAGAAACAGTCCTTGATAGCTATTTTTTTATGCTTGTTGGAGTCGAGCAATTCTATCTTCTGTGAACGAGTTAAAGCAGTCGTAAATTCAAAAACAAGAAATCAGTCACTCTACTATTATATATTCGCTATAGCTGTCGTACCAAAGCTGTACTGAAAATAACACAAATGAATAATAATCTGTGTTAGTTGTACCCATAGAGATTTTTATGATACAGTAGAGCCTCGAAAACCCGGCACTCCGGATAACTCGGCCACACCCTGGCAGGGCAAAAATACGCTTAGATAATTAATTTTCATCATAGACAGCTTTATGCCTTATAGAGTATTTTTCTGAGGTCTGTCTTATCAAGTAAATTACTGTACACAGTGTATTCATTAATTTTGATTTTATTGTAGTAAAGGCTCTATGCCTTCATAAAGGATGTACTTTTCCTTTGTTTAAGGGTATTTGGGCAGTTTATTTTCTATTGTATTCTCAAGCAAACAACACATACAAGTACAGTACAATATTTTCTGAGAAAACACGCATACTTTTTCTTTTTTAACCCCATTCCCGATAACTTGGCCACCCTTCGGTCCACATTAGGCCGAGTTTTCGAGGCTCTACTGTATATTGAATTACACCTTTCAAATTGTGCAGATTGATGTATAATTTGTGAAAGTTTACTTGCCGTCTTATAGGAACGCCGTTAAATATCCTTTATGTAAAAAGAGGATAAGTTGTATGAAAGTATTACTTTTCGGTCGGAATGGTTGTCGCAAATTGTCTATATCTGTTTTCTCAATTCAGAATTGAGAGAAAATTAATGGTTAATTAGAGCTTTATTTTTAAATAATTTTAATTTCTGACTTGCATTTAATCCTGGATTAAGAGCAGGATGTTTTATAAGGTTATAACACAAACTACATTTATTTACAGGGTAAGGTGTTAATGAAGAGAAGAATTTGTAAATTGTCTATAATAATATATTATAATTTTCTCTATAGAATATAAATTTCAAAAGTATAAGTAGGATTGATAAATAACCAGCCAAAAACAACAACAGTTTATTTATTGATCCAATCTTATAAAAGTATGAGCTTTCTATTAAGAGCATTTTACATAATTATTCTAATTATATATATATCATTTGGAAGATTAACATGTTCATGGCATTATGAGTCACATGTGACTCGTATGGATGTGTCTAGTTAGGGCTACAGACATAATTGCTTGTTTTTCAGTGGGGTGGCGCATATGTTTTGATAATGTAATTCTACAAACATCATACTTGATATATCGATATTATTCTATTACGTGCAACAAAATATATTAATTTAATAGTACGAGGCATGGGTGACTCGTGCCGCCCTGTATTAAAATAGTTTATGCAGTTGCTGGGTGTTACAAGTCACGGGTGACTCGTAACACCCAGCAACTGCCTGAACGTTTATCTATTGATGCCATGAATGTGTTAAATTAATAATGCTTATCTTGAAAACATGGTTACTATCTTTACCTATGTACAGTGTTTACACGACATAGAAGCATTTCATTATAAACATGATTTTTATTGAAAATATTTAAAATTTAAATAAATCCAAAGATGATAAACAATAAAGATTGCTAGAATGAAATAAATCTGCAAAAATTATAACATAGAATAAGATGTTGATTAAATATTCTTATTATTAAATTGATGCACAGATCTTTATAATGAATCAATAATTTTCACATTGCTTTATCTACAATTGCATAGAAATTTGTTTTAATGCAATCATATTCAATTATAGAAGCTGTCTTTGAAATGATGAAGTTTTAACAAAAGCACTTGAAGTACAACATTTTTTTTTGTGTGTGTTTGTTACATAAATTATATTAGCTCCTATAAAGCATTTTCATTGAAATTTTAGTGGAGTTTTCTCTTTTATTAAATATCAGAAACATGAGTGACAATCGTTAATATTGCTTGACGGTTCAAAGAAAGTGAAGATAATCTTGTATTTGCTTGTCGTTTGCATTTCAAAATATTTAAAATTTAAAATATTGTTTCACATTAAATTTAATTGCAACCTTTTTTCAATCAAAACATTTCTGTTGGGATAGATTCAAATTATTTTTTAATGTAGGCGGCAATGATTTAGCCACTACGTCCATTTTCAAAGTTATTTTATTAACTGAATGTGTATATAAATCAAAGTTGTTTCTCTATCGTTTTTAAATATTACTTTTTACTTAAATTTTTTCAAAAAATCAGCGAAATAAGGGTTAAAAGTTTGTTTATATGTTTCGAAAGTGGGAAAGAGAAGAGGTAAAATGTCGGCTATCTTGACCAGGTTTTGTATAGTAATTCATTAAGTTTGGTCTCCAGGTGTACAACATTTCAGAGAGCTCCGTGCGAAGGTAAAGATGAATGGCTAACTGATTGATTTTTCCCCACTGGACTTTACTGAAGTTCTCCACATTCAACATACATTGAAATGTTGGTAGAACATTATTTCCATTAGAGTTTTGCCTGTTAGTAATAGAAAATGTCAATTACCCTTCTCGAAATTCTGTAAGATTTGGTACCATTTTGTAAGTTTAGAAGAGAAAATACAGCTACTTTTAAGGAAACCAAATATGTTTTTGGAACTTAATTAGGACCAGTGTTAGCTCATAGTATTTTTCAAATTGAATGCAAGATAATCTGTTTTTCTGGACCATCATAACTATAACAAATTCTTAATTATATTAATTGGATGAAATAGAATGTTAGAATAACAACGCATATGAAAATAATAGTAACAGTGCAACGTGTCATAATAATTAAATGATTGAAATGATATCAAAATTAAATCTATCCACTTTGTTATATTAAAAGAATGGTGTTAAAATTTGTATACTGACAGTGAGATCATTGAGATGCATTTGGGATTTATATAGAGATAGAGGCAGATGATAAAGAAGATATATCAGAACATAATCTCGTAGATCAGACTGTTTTCTAATAAATTATATCTGCTTTAGTGTATGATGGAGGGAATAATTATGAATGTTAGGTTTAATCTGTCCAGATTTCTTGAGAAAGTGTTTTTAAGAGCAAAAGTAAACCGTTTCTATCTGGCCAAACCCAGGATAGGTAAATTCAGAATTCTTTTTAGTGTCTACGGAATGCAGTTTAAAAAATTTAATTTTCACAATTCAGAATTTACCGAAATGTTATGTACAGTGTAAAATTTTACATATTTATCATTAACTTATTTGAAAATTTCATTCCTTAATTAAAATATTCAGGTAATTGCTCTTTCAGATTTGGAATGTGATTATTTAAATGCTCAACAATGTTGTTCAAAATTAAATAAGGTAAGTGAAAACAAAATTAAATCAGATAATATCTTTGTCGGTATTAACGTTATATGAACGTATTTCAGTGGGTCATACCAGAAACAGTAGCACAGGGAATTATTTCTGTTTTACTACTAATCACTTTTCATTGGTTCCTTTTTCTTTTAAATATTCCTATGACTTCCTGGCAAATTTACAAGTAAGTAAATTGTTTGTTTATAAATACTTTAATATATAATACTACATAATTTATATAGGGTCTTCCAAACTGAATGCCACCATTTTAAATTACTGTAATTATCCGAGAACTGTGTGACGTGCGTCAATTGATAGAGTAACCATCCGAGTTTCATCTCCCATCTGTATTCAAACATTTCGTTATCTGCTACCTCTAGGAAATGCCGCAAACAAAAGCGGTGACACTGCAACAGAGAAAGCACTTTGTGTTCTTCTGTTTGCAAAGTCAGAATCACAAGAAATCTACAGGAACTGTAGAACTGTTCTGATGTGGAAGGAGTGGTGACAGATAAGCTGTAACAAATATAGAAAGAATTTGAGTATTGGTTGTATGTGTACAGTTTGACACAAGATGCACACATTGAGAAAAGGCAAATGCAGAACTTGGGACAGTTTTCCAATGTTATAATGTACATTACAACATTCTTGGATAATAATTAACATATTTACAATAATTAAAAATCGTAGCATTTTTATTGAAATACTTTGTATTTAATGCTTTGTAATTTCAGAATCCTCACCATACCTTCAGGAAATTTTGGAGTATACGATCCAACGGAGATTCATAATCGTGGAAATTTAAGGAAACATATGAGAGATTCCATGATACGATTAGCATTTTATTTGATCTTCTTTTTTGTTTATCTTTACTGGTAATTATATTTATTTATTGATATAAAATAATAGCACAGAAATTTTGTCAAATATATTACTATTTCATTATATAATTAAATAGCCGAATGATTTCATTAAAGTAAATTTATACAAGTGAACAGTGCTCATGTCTGAAACACTTTGTAAAAGAACATGGTTGCATAGGAAATGACTAGGAAAAATGTAACAAACAAAATTTTTACCAGGAAGACTAGTTCTGTTACACAGCAACTTCTTGATTGAAGATACAGGGAATCCAAAAAGTTATTTTGCAGTTGAAAAAGTTTAAGTAACATTTTAATAAAGTGAAGTTTTATGTGCACTATTGCTTTTTCTCCTAAAGCAAGTGCTGGAAATGTCTCTCAGACGCCCAAAAATCTGGGGAGTGAGGTCCAGAGACATAGTGGGTCAGATTCTGTGGAAGATTGTTCTAGTTTTTGGAAGATTTCTTTGCCAGTTATTGTGATTGGCAAAGAAATCTTCCAAAAACTAGAACACCTGTGAGCAAGCCATAATGACATCTACCACAAAGGGGAAGAAGTGTAGGACGTACAACTTACAGGTCTCATATACATTGCCATACATATAACAAATGTAATAACACCTTTCTCATTGGATGGTAAATTTTAAGACACCTTGCACGAAAAACTATTTTTCATTTTTGAATTGATTAGGATAATGCTCAAACTCTTGAAAGTCATAACTAAATCAACATTTTTAACTGGATACTTGAACATTGTTATAGAATTCGAATTAAGTGCAAATTTATGCACATAAATTACCCAACTTCACTGCCTGTAACCGGTGTTCTTCTTCTCCAATACAGAGGACTTTGCAAACGTTTTCGAACCTAATGTGGTTCTTCTTCAGGCGCTACGGAATTTCCTATATGAAGAAGCCTGAAGAAGAACCACATTAGGTTCGAAAACGTTTGCAAAGTCCTCTGTATTGGAGAAGAAAAACACTGGTTACAGGCAGTGAAGTTGGGTAATTTATCTATTCCGGTGTTAAAATTTCTGTATAATTTATGCACATTTTTAATATTCTGTGCTTGCAAATTTGAGCTTTATTTAATCGCTGAATCAATTTAAACTCATAAAACAAGCCCATGTTTCTCTGCTAAATCCAAATTGACTTCAAAGATAACCCCATTAATGTAATAACAAAAATTTAGTTTAAATGCAGAGTTTTTTTTTACAAACATAACCAAACAGTTGCTTTAATTGGGATATAACTCCACTAATTTAATGATTAATACTAAGTAATTTGCTACTGGAGGTAAATGTTAGGTGCCATCTCTTAACTAAATTTTTTTTACTATACAGGGTGTCTAAGGGCAAAAGAGATTTCAGCATTGGTTAGGTTAGCTGCAGTGAACACAAATACACTGGATACAGTCAGAGATAATTTGTATGTTATGTTAAATTGTCTTAAATTGATTTCCATCAGTTATTTTAGTGCTGGAACAAAATAACATATACTTGTGCAGTGCTAGAAAGATCTTTGTTTTTAGTTAGATGTTTAAGCGGACACTTGTACAATACCATGCATAGGTGATCAACAAAAATATTCCACTTAAACGTAGCATTTCATTGTTGTAATAAAACTTTCATACCAGTCACAAAAACAAGGAGTTATAAAGCAGTAATCACACTTTGCAGTTTTTAGCTCTGCAGGCAACTGTGACTATGTTGACTATTACCATTAACAAACTCCCTCTGAGTAGTGTGTGACACAGCTGTGACAAACGTTTTTTGTTTTTCTAGTGCCGATTGAAAGTGTGCAACCATTAGATAAATTAAATATTTGTGTGTTTACTAAGCTAGTGACAGTTGCAGAAAAACTGAAAATGTTCCATTGACGATAAAGTTTTCTTTGGTTGCCTTAAATAATCAATACTGTGTTGAATTGTTAAAATCTAAAAACTTTTTGGCTAAAATTAAAATAAATTATGATTTTTAATATCACATCATTACCAAAATGAAGTGTGTACATAATTCAATGTTTCTAAAATTTAACATCAACCGACACTGATATAAATTCCTTTCCAAAGAATACATTTTACTATTAATAACTTATACTAATTTAATGTTGCACATTGTTAAATCGATTAGCTTCTATACTGTTATTAATCAAGTAATTAAATAACTCATCTTTTATCTTTCAGTATGATCATCGCATTGCTGACGAAATCTCCCGGAAACACCGCGACCGAACTCTAAATCAAAATTTGGTCAAATTTTCTCTTTGTATCCTCACGTACGTGCATTAGATTGAAGACTTTTCTATGTATCGTAAAATGAATCGGCTATTTTTACTTCCCAAAGTTTTGTGCCAATTAGTGTACGTATGAATAATAAAATAACTTAATTTTTATATATAAAAGTAAATATTATATATTGGTATTCGCATATCAGTTTCCGTGCATTCGTCGTCGTTAATATCTAATTATTTATCATTTCTTAATGGCAGTTATATATTTGTAATTTATATTCCAATCCAATACTTTGTTGTATTACCTCACGGCATAAATATTTGTGAAGAGTGTGATTTGTTGTAATGATGTTAACTAGACAACCGACAGCTTATAGAGAAGAAAAATTAATTTTAAAATGCCATAATAACAAAATACAGTACTTTAAAGTTCAAACAGCAGTTTTGTTAAATTCAAAGAAAAGATTTCTTCATAAAATAGTATGTTAAGTGCCTTAACATATCAAATAAAATTTGATAAAAGCAAATGACTTTTGTATAAAATTTGCACGATAAACATCTCGACAAGGACAAAATTTAAAGTGTATTACAATGTTTTGTCAGTCCACATTGTACAGATTGTCAAATGACTATATTTTGCTCAAGTGCAGCTAAGGTTTGTCAAAATATTAAAGTTTTCCAATTACACTCTGCCTCTATAATTAAAGTTTATAAAGCAAACAATTCCCTGCATCTATACTTTCCGAAATAAAATATTTATAACTGAAACACGAAGTCGGTCGCAGGAAAAAAAAAATCATTTTTATCTTCTCTGCAAATGTTTTTTACGACTTCGAAAAGTTTGGTCTGTGCAATATTTTATGATTTCACATTTTTACGATCATTTTTATTACTTGCTTTTTTATAATTTGAAGCAAAAAGATAAATTCATATAATTAATATAAACACTAAAATAGTGTGGTTGAGATTACAGGATGATCTCAATTTATTCGTTAACCACTTGCTATTGAGACCTTAGCGGACAATTATTGAAAAAAGAAACACGACGTCAAGTTTTTTTTTACGTGTAAACAGTTTAATCGTAATATAAAATTTGTAAAATTACTCCTTAGAATAATTTATAATTGCAACTTTTATGTACTTCATAGTACAATTGAAGAAGGTCAAACTAGTAATTTGGGAGAAATGCATATTGTAAAAAGAAGTATGTTATTAAATAAAACATCTTTCTAAAAGCAATAATTGTCACTAAGGTCTCAATAGTAAGTGGTTAGCAAATACAGTAGAGCATCAATTATCCGAAACAATTCAAGACAGGTTTTTTGTATAACTGATCATTTATGAAAAATATATTAAACAAAACTATACTGTATATAATTTGTATCACACGTCTTACAAATAATACCTTACATAATGTAGTACATTAAAGTATGCCTACAGTTTAGGTTGACAGGGACATAAGGTCCATCCTAACATCCCTGCCAACCTAAGGGGGAGAGTGCTGCAACACCACAGCGCTAGTGGAAATTTGAATTTGCCGACTGGAACACTTTCGGTTAACCGATGTTTCGGTTGATCAGTATTCGGATAATCGATGTTCTACTGTAAATTGCATCATCCCTTAATCTCACACTAAAATAGTGTTTATATTATTTATTACAAATAAATCATCCCTCATTATGTTCACAATATTTGTTATTGGTAACTATCACTTAATAAATTCATATATTTTTAATCTAATATCTATTAATATGTAGAATTATAAAAAATTTGAGAGGGTTTGGAAAGTATTGATGACATTCAAAAAGAAAAATAAAATTTTTAAGTTTGTGTGTTTACATTTTTACACAGTTTTTTAATACGCTTCATACAAATATACAAAGGAATGATCTAAAGCAGCGATACACCTTTTATGGATGCGCGAGTGAAGTGATTTTCAGCAGGACGTGCATTTTTTTTTCCTTACAGAATTGCAGTCTTTAAGCCTGCAAAGTACCAACTTACTCCATAACTTCTAAAACACTACATACTAAATTATATTTGCTAATGACAGCAAACTAGTGATATATACTTCATGCTTTCACCGATCAAGTTTAGTCCGAACATTCGTCGTCACACATATCAGCTTAATTTTTATTGCGTAATGACAAGGCAGAAACGGAAAAATAAAATTATGTTTTCAAACTCATAGGTTGCTCAAAAACTTTTACAAATTTTGTCAAATAACTTTCCCGTATTCGGGCTAGAAATTGTGTCGAGTTTATAATTTTTTAAAATATTTTTATTATGTAATATTACTCAATACGTTGATGATCAATAAATTATACTGTTTACATCATTTTAAAAACTGAGCTATAATTAAATGCCAAAAATGTTGTCGTTCTTTTAATCCATTGTTTCTGATTGTGTATGTTGGTCTAATCACCGAATGTATTTTTTGAATTTTGTTTTGGGCTCTATAAATTCAAACTTGGAAAGCAAGATGTGCCAGTCTTCAATTTTTAGTTTCTTTAATAAGAGTTGTGATGCTTCTCAACCAGTTTGAAACAGTTTCAAGTTTTCATTTATTACTATTGTATTTTTGATGTAAAATTAAATTTTTTTATTTTACAATGTATATTTGGTGTCGTGGTTATCCTTCTTTCTGTTCAGGACCGTCAAGAGCTTATTTGAGTCCTGGAGATAGATTGGGTTCCTTTTGCCTTTTGAACAAATTACATTAAGACTGCTTTTTATTAATAAAGAAACCTTTAAAGTTTTATTTTTACTAACAGAAAATAAAATTAAGTTTTTAGTGGTGAGAATCACTATGGGCCCAAAGAAAAATTTCCCAGTTTTCTCCTCTTGACGATCCTGTCCCTAATCCCTTCTTATCTGTAAAGCCTTTGTTTTGGTAACGGCATATCTATCAAATGTACTACAAGTTGACCTCCCTATAACACTGTTGATAATTCTAAGTTATATGAATTCCATGTTGTACGAGTCACTTAAATTTTACAAATACGTGTGCCGGGCTGTGAACGGCTCACGTATTTGTAAAATCTAAGTGACTCGTACAACATGGAATTCATATAACTCAGAATTATCAACAGTGTTAGAGGGGAATATAACCTGCAGATCCTGCAGATGCAATGGAATTTGCTTATTGTAATCACTCACTTTGGGACTTGCCTAAATGGATAGTGGTAACATTAAGCAGGGTAAATGAACAAGATTATGTTCGGCAGAAATTCTAGTTTTATTGACAGATTAAGTGGACACGTTAAAATAATTAATTCTTCTACAACTTTTATTACTTACTAGCTGTACCCAGCCACACGTTGCTATGGCTCAAAATGTATCTATTATAAATGTATAAAACTCCCTGCGGGAGGAAATTTTGAAAAATCCCTTCTTAGTGTACATTCTTGATGTACCCTATTAAAATGCAAAAAACTGCATCTAAAATAGTATAATAGAAGCCGAGTTCTTCACGGTAAGCCTTAATTTTGTCCCTCTCCCCGCGGGAGGGAATTTCGACATCTATTTAATATAAAAATGTGCGTATTCAAATGCAACGTTGTGTCAAAATTTCAAAGCAATCAGTTAAGAACTTTTGGAGATTTAAGATTTTGAACAAACATTTACATTTTTATTTATATAGATTATATAATTTGTCTGGTACTGTGTCCCCAACAATCTTTAACAGTTAGTACATTGAATAAATACCAGCAATTACTGCATCATGAGCAAATAACAATTAAAATTATCAATGTTTAAAGCACTTAACAAGCACTCATTAGCAATCTAAATGTTATCAGGCGCACATTGAAGCTGATGAAACGTCATAAATAAGCATTTTTATAACCAGTAATCATTAAAGCATATCAGCCATTTAATGGTAACAATATCTGAAGTCATTACATATTAGTAAATTATTTTTAACAAGTTAAATTGCAGTGTCATTTTCAGGCTATGTTTAACACTAGAAATGTCATGAAATTGTTTACCTGAAAGCACTATTGCCAGTTAACACGACTGGTGTAAAAATGCCCCATTTATTTGTGTGCAAAAAAAGTGTATCGGTCATATATTGCAAATTTTTTATTATTTTAAGTAACTGACGTAGCAGAGTTTTATAATAAAACAAATAAAATTATTCAGGTTATAGTTGTAATCATGAATTTTCCCTTTATCGACCTGCATCTATTATTGGGAATGCTTAAAATATCGCTTTGTATTTTCTAGGAAAATGAAATGGTTCTATGGCATAGAAAACTAAACTGCAAAAGAATGTGTTTAAAACTGATCTAAATCCAAAATAAAAAATTGTAGAGATTGATTCATTTGACAGCAATAAGAAATTCGATTGAATTGTAACACATGACGCACTTACTACTGGCAATCGACTCATAGACTTTACATGGCAAACTTTGACCTCAAATATTTTAGTCTATAGATCAAATTTCAAAATTCTGGCTTTGTCTTGACATCAGCTTTGCCAAGTTGTGCCTATTTGCAAAATATGTTCAGTGATCATACAGTTGGTTTGAACTTCAATCACAGACAAAGACACTTTGTGACTTGTGCAGAGGTCTGCTCGATGAACCTGAAAATGCTAAGACCAATTTTTAAGTTCTATTTTGATTTTTTTAAACTTTATTAAAGCAAATAATTATCTGTTAGTTACAAAATTTGGTCTAAAGATAGGCTATTGTACTTGATTGCTTGCTGTTCTTTCAATTAGTTGTATATCCTTAGGAACTTAGCATAAAGTTGCTATTGAGAACAAATCATACAGGAACACTCCTTTTGATGGAAAAAATAGATTTATTTTCTATAATTTAGAATGGATATATGCATTTTGGGCTCTATGCCCCTCTTCGGTCCTTATTTTATTATGTGCGTCGATAAAAACTAAAAATAACTATAGCGACAGCTGGAATAACTTATTATTATTATTTGCTATAATTATCTTCAGTTTTTACCAATACACATAATAAAATAAGGACCGAAGAGGGGCATAGAGCCCGAAATGCATATCCATTCTAAATTATAGAAAATAAATCTACCATTTCCATCAAATGGAGGGTTCTTGTATGATTTGTTCTCAATAGCAACTTTATGCTAAGTTCCGAAGGGCATACAATTAGGCTGCTTGTGTGATTGTGCTCACTTTTAGGCAAAATTTTATTACTAAATTTAATTAGCATTAATAGAATCCAAAAGTAATCAGGAAATTGTTTCAGGCTTTGGTTATAGTGCAAATATAATTATGCAATCAATTTATATAACAAAGGGTCCCGAGATTTTGAAAATACTTTTATTACTTTTTTGCGCTCCCGTGTCTCTCCACCATATGCAAGAGTGAGAATATTTTATTAAAATTAGTTTCTACTAAATAGCCATTCACGATCATCCCTTGAAGAATTATACGAACTGTATCTTGATGCTCGTGTAGCTGATATAAAATTAAGGAATTTTATAAAAAATTCATCAATTCTTTTATGATGATGATATTTTTCTTTTTTAAAAAAGGATACATGTTGTTCATTCTGTAAAAAATAATAATAAAAATTAAGAATAGTATTTGAAATATGAAGACGAAGTTCTTATAATTGATAGAATACATACCACGGTATTGAAATATTTATCCAAAGCTTCAACGAATAACTGGATGAATTCATAAATAGCAAGTTCATTCTGAAGAAAAATTAAAAAATAAGTACATTTAATTAAGTTTAAATTAATTTATCTAATAATAGATTGCTTAGCTTTATATAGATTACAAGTTTAAATAAAAAGTATAAGGTAAATATGATAAAAATGTAGTAATAACTTTTTTTATGATGGCTAGATGGTCTGGGTGGTTAAAGTATCATACTTTCCGGTGTATAAGACCCCTGACTTTTACACTGAAAATATAGAGTTTGGGATATACTCGCCGTATAAGACTACCCCAGCCTGCCTTTGTATCCTATTACCATACCTCCTCCGCGCCTCAGATCTCGCACATGCACGCCTGCACTGCTTCAATGCAGTCCTCAGGAGCGAGATCTGAGAGGCAGAGAAAGAGGTACGGTAATAGGATACAAACAAGGACAGGCCGGATGGGTGAAAGATGTGTGTTTTTCTGGGCACAGCGCAACTCTATCTCTATCCATACCCCAGGCGTCCTGGCCAACTGCAGCACCCACCCTATAAGATGATCCCCGACTTTTGAAAAGATTTTCCTGGGTTAAAAAGTTGTCTTATATGTAGAAAATAAGTATCAGCCTATTGATCTAGGGCTCCAAGATCAAATCTGGGCAAGCAACATCTCAGGAATTTTTTGTGGTTGGTTTATACTGGATGCATCGAGCCTCTATGGCCCACCAGTGGCCAAATAGTTCCATTCCCTGAATACCGAGAGTTTAGTCAAGGGTATGCACCTCCCAGGACGGACTGGCCACAAGGAGTTTTCCAAGTTTTCTCCATCTGTAACACCTGAATATGATGGGCCAGTTACCCTTAAAAAGAGCTCCCAGAAGGCATTCCCCCTAGGCAGATCACCCAAGTGTTGCATTGCCATAACTTAACTAAACAAACAAACAAAGCATCGAGCCCCTGCCTCATTGCTTGGTTGTCCCCACTGTGGACCCAGCCGAACTCACAGTGGATATAGGAAAAAAGGGCCCTCCTAGTGCCCACTGGGTGAAAAGAGCTTACGATTTAAGTATTTTTAAAAAATATATGAAAATTATACTAACCTCCTCTTCATCCGTTCCAACAATGAAAAGAAGAGTGTTATACTGACGATGGATAATTTTATATTCCTTGTATTCGAGAAATGAACACTGAAAGATAAAGTATTAATAAACATTAAAACTTTGATAATGACTTATTGTTTTTTCCCTAAAATTAAAAGTATAAAACATATTTGCTGTTTTATTGAACATTCTCTCATTTCATAATTCAAATCAATAAGAATTATATAAACAATACACAATTTGACAGATGCATATTTACATTCCTGCAATCAAATTTTCTCTGTTTTAATTCTAAAAGTCAAAATACTAATTGTAGTGTCATAATTAGAAATAAACATCTTCCAACACTAGAGGAGTTACAATTCAGCACTTCAAACAACCTTCTCCAGTGGTATGTGTTTACACCTTAGCAAACGTTTTCAACCTCATTGAGGTCTTCATCAGGCTACTTTAATTAGGAATTCGAACGCATTTGGAACTTCTTTGGAGTATTCTTAAATCTGTTTATAAATTTTGAATCGTATACGTTCCGTTCCAAACGCGTTCAAATTCCTAATTAAAGTAGCCTGATGAAGACCTCGATGAGGTTGAAAACGTTTGCTAAGGTGTAAACACATACCACTGGAGCTGTAAAGGTTGTTTGAAGTGCTGAATTGTCGTAATTAGCTTTACATCTGCCCTGTGCAAGGTTTTATTTTTGGGCTCTTGATTTTTTACAGGAAAAAATAATAATAAAATAACTGTTTATAAATATTATTTTGTGTAAAAGAATTATACAAGATCATTCACATATATTTATAAACCAAAATATTAATACAGTATATTTTACAAATTTTTTGATGGTTCCATTTTGAGACGCCCTTCATCTTGGGCTCTGTGCACCTATCTAGTTGGCCCACCAGTGGCCAAGTGGTTCCATTCCCTGAACACTGGGAGTTCGGTTGTGGGTTCGCACCTCGCCAGGACAGGCTGGCCATGTGGAGTTTTCTCGGTTTTGTCTAGGTCTGTAATGCCCTAATAGGGGCCAGTTACCCTTGAAAACACTTTCCAGAAAGCATTCCCATTAGGCAGATCACCCAAGTGTTGCATTGCCGTAACTTAATAAACAGATAAACCTACCTAGTTATGGCAGTGATTGTAGATGCATAAATAGAAGAGGTATAAAATCAAAGAAACTGACAGCAGCGAGAATAGAATTTGTGTAAAAAATGTACTTAAATATAGCTTCTGTAGATATTTATCTTATGTTCCGTTCTGTTGACTTAGTTCAAATTCATGTACGATTTATACAAGTTCAAGCTGAATTTTGGAGCTATGTGCAGCTTCAAAATTACTGCTTCTATGATTTTAACCATGTTCATGGACTGATCTCATACCAAAAGTTTCAAATGTTCTAACTTACAAAACAATAGCAACCTTTTTTGATTACTCTGGCAAGTCTATTATGACTACAGTAGCTATAATGGCTACATCAAAATGTCCAGTCTTTTAACCAGTTTTTATATCTAAAAAATATTATTTATAAATAATTATACTAGAAATGAGATTTGAATCTATTTTCAGTAGAAACCAAATGTGTGTATTTGGTTTTTTAAATTAGAATTGCTTTATAGGAAACAGAACTAGAGGTGCATATAGCTTTATGGGGTCCCACATACAGTACTGACTTTGGATATTTTTCTTCGAGGGAACCTTTTGGGGGCGCAGGCAATTGCCCTTTTTTCCCATAGATTAATGCATCACTGAACAAAGCCACAAAATATGCGACAATGTTCGTAACAAAATTAATATAAAAAGAAAAAACAATTTGTAATAATTCATACTATCTTCCATCAAAGATGAATGCAGGAGCAAATCTTAGGGGGAGGGGATATTTTTTAATTTAGAATGAAATAAATATATAAAAGTTTGATTTATATTGCTTAAATGAATGCTTAAACTCTGTAAATAACATAAAAATGTAAGAAAATTGAAATTAATGCTATATTTAATATTTTTATTTGAATAAAATAATGCAAATGTATTGGAAATGGTTCAATAAAATGCAAGATTGAATTTATTCATCAAACTTTATTTCATCCCCTTTAAAGTAATCCCCTCCTATTGCAATGCAATTACGCCAACATTCTTTCTATTCTTCAAAACTTGCTTTAAAGTTGTTTTTGTGAAACCCCTTCATATATTCACAGCAAATTTTGTTTTATTGCATCAATTGACTCAAAATGGTGATTACAAAGTGGAAATTTTAGTCAAGGAAACAGGAAAAGTCACACAGTGCTACATCAGATGAATACAGAGCTTGCAGAACTGTATTTATTGACGTTTCGGCCAAAAATTCACAAACAGAAAGAGCATTGTAAGCAGGTGCATTATCATGATGCAAAATCTATGAGTTTTCTCACCATAAATCAGGCCATTTTATAAGAATTACTTCATACAAAAGACGCAAAGAGAAATACTATTCTTTGTTGACAGTTTGGCCAGTAGGAAGGAATTTATGGTACACAACACCACACAGTGATTTTATACATGCAGTGATTGGTGACAGCTGTTTTGTATTCAACACTTGACACAAGACCAATTTTTGTTTATTTTTATTATTTACTCAGGTTTGTATAGCAACATGAATGATCTCACTGAATAGAGCTTATACTCCATTCATACTGAATATTTCATACCATATACATCCTCAATATGTTTGAGATACTACTACTATAATTTGAGACTAACTTGGGCCAGACCCATAATAGAATGGATGAAAATGGGTTCATTTCACATAATCTTTCTTTGTAGTGGTCATATACAATTGCATGCTTTCTAACATATATAGAGAGATTGCTAAAATGATTAATGTTATGAATGTTTATAGAAGACCTATTATTATTTTTTCAATGATCATAAATAACAAAGGATTGACAATAAGTTCCAGCCAGGTTTTGATTCCATCCCATTGCGAGAGTAAGAGGTGGAAAGATCACTTATTTATATTGGTGTCACAGCTAGAGATCTCACAATGAGAAATAAAGAATGCCAATATACTGTAATATCAAAAAGATGATGGCCAATACAACACTAGCTGCATGTGCGGAGGAGGATGGAGTTCAAGACAATGTTGATGTTCAGTGTAGACAAATGAAAACATTAGTATCATTAAAAAAATTATTGTTTTTTAACTGGTTTCTTTAGTGTTTTGGTGTTATTTGTTGCAAATATGACCAATTTGTGTTGTGGTTAATACTGAACATTAGAAGTCAAATCGAGAAGTGAACAGGCTCAAGCACAAATAAATCTTTAAGGCTGTCAGTCATCGATGCCCTCATCATCCTGTGTTCCCCTTACAATACTTACAGTTTTAGTACAAGTAATTGGTACTTTGCTATTATACCAAGAACAGAGTAATGCTCATGCTTTACAGACTGAGGAGATCCCTCCTTCTCCCTTACAAAGAGGGAGATTTGACTGGCATTTAATTAACCAAACAGTTGGTCCACAGAACTCATTACTTTCCATCAATTCCTTTCAGTCCTTTGAGTGTTGCTCTTCTGTTGGCAGGCCAGAGCACATGGAAATTATCGCCTGGCTATGTTAAACCATAACCTCATAAACTGGTAATAAGATCACAACAAAACATCTACACATCTTCAAAACTTGACTTAACTGACAAACATTTTCAACTTTTAAAACCTGATAAAGGCATTTAAATGGTCAAATATATTCATTAATTAAGTTATATACATACTGTATATATTTCAATTATTCTATCTGATAATAAGATTAGTGTTCATTGCCATTTTCTATGTTTAATTTTAAAAACGGTAGCAATGGCTCTTGCTCAACTTTCCTGACACTCACAGAGGAGATTAAGGAGACCAGGAGAGTTTGATAATTTTCAATTATGCTACGATATAAAATTTAAACAACACAAGTTTAAAAGGTGTAATATTAATTGAATTATGATAAAAATCTCTATTTAAAAAAATATTTAAGTTCATTTTGTATACTATAATAGCCAGGAGAGTAAAATTTTGTTCATTATGGATCTGAAGATGGAATGTTTGTTTCCAGACTATTTATCCTAATTTTTTTTATTAGTTACAATGATGAAAGAGCTGTTAAAGTCAGTAAATAACTAAATTTTGATATACGGAATAATAATATAGGCTCTGCAGCTGCTGTTCCATCTCACTAATTCACAAATGAATATAATTGGATGTGAAGCTTAGGTTTTGTTGGTTCACACAGTGATTTGATTTCTAGAACTAAATGATTTTGCAGACTTGTATATTCCCACTGTCATCCATCCTTCATTAATTTCAAGAATGGAGTTAGATGAAAATCAAGATTGAATACATAAAGCTTATTTTAGAATTAAAATATGATTAAAAACTGCAGTCCAGCATTGTGATGATGTCACGATGAGTATAAATATCACTCATAAAACCAAAAATTCAGCTCATAGATCAAAAAAAGTGAAAATAAATGTCTTCAATTGTCTTCAGGTTAAAGGAACAAATTTGGAAACTGAATGAGAAATGAAATGTTATAATTTAAAATAATGAAAGAACACCACTTGATTGGCAGTCAACAGTCATGTGCTTTCACTGGGATGTAAAAATTATTTAAATTTCAAATAACACCCTCCAAAATTTATTATTATTTTTACTTTCAAGTGAAATCATAAGACCATCGACTACTAATCAGATGTCTTTCTTGTCATGTTTTAAATTATAACATTCCGTTTCTTGTTCACTTTCCAAATTCGTTCTTTTAACCTGAAGATGGTTGCTCAAGAGAATTGATGACATTTGTTTTCCTTTCACTTTTTTAAATTTTTGGTTTTATGAGTGCTATTTATATAGGGTGTTTATAAATGAATGGTGCTGTTTTAAAAATTAATAATAAATTTATTTATTACCTTATATGGGCAAACCTTACAGCATAAGCAGCAGCAACTGTCCAAGTTAACAGGAATGTATGCGAACTTCTTAATCTTGTTCTTCACCAATGCTGGATTGGACATGGTGCAACAGCAAACAATCTGCTCCCCTGGCCACCTCATTCACCAGATTTAAACCTCTGAGTTCATGTACCGTCAATGGCCGTGTCCCTTGAGGAACTGTGTGATTGGATAAAGCATGCACTGCAGACCATCACAGAGGACAAGCTACAGCACATATGATATGTGGTGTAGCTTGTCCTCTGTGATGGTCATCACATATGATATGTGGTGTAGCTTGTCCTCTGTGATGGTCACCACATATGATATGTGGTGTAGCTTGTCCTCTGTGATGGTCATCACATATGATATATGATGTAGCTTGTCCTCTGTGATGGTCATCACATATGATATGTGGTGTAGCTTGTCCTCTGTGATGGTCACCACATATGATATATGATGTAGCTTGTCCTCTGTGATGGTCTGCAGTGCATGCTTTATCCAATCACACAGTTCCTCAAGGAACACTGGCATTGACGGTACATGAACTCAGAGGTTTAAATCTGGTGAATGAGGTGGCCAGGGGAGCAGATTGTTTGCTGTTGCACCATGTCCAATCCAGCATTGGTGAAGAACAAGATTAAGAAGTTCGCATACATTCCTGTTAACTTGGACAGTTGCTGCTGCTTATGCTGTAAGGTTTGTCCATATAAAGTAATAAATAAATTTATTATTAATTTTTAAAACAGCACCATTCATTTATAAACACCCTATATAAATATCACTCAAAACCAAAAATTAAAAAAAGTGAAAGAAAAACAAATGTCTTCAATTCTCTTGAGCAACCAAACAACCTGTACTTTTCATCCAATATAACATGTTTTTGTAATAATAAATGATTGCTTGTTCTTTTGTTCATATTCTAAAACTGACACCATGCTTTTATTATAATTATACAAAGTATTTTTGACTCTACTCTGTGGGTACTAAGGACTTTTTCCATACCCATCATGAGTTTGCCAGACACACAACAAGGGAACTGGGTGGCAAGGAATGAGACTTGACACAGACAGACCATCCCCACCCAGATTCAATCCCAGGTCACCCTAGTGATAAACTGACACATTAAATACCTTAGCCATTTATATAAATTTTTAACAAATTATCATCAAATTATTGTTTAAATTCTGACTTTATACAATTGACCTGTTTTAAGCTTCTGGATTTCTAATAATCAAAATGATGATGATTTTCAACATAATATCTGCTTTAATACTCTATATATAGAGTATTAAAACATAGATGCTATTGCTTCATTTATTCTCAGTGTTCATCTAACAACAGTTATTTTTATATATAATGAAAAAAGCAAAAATAACAAAGGAAAATGATGCGTATTTTTTGTCATTCAAACTTCTTATCAAATCACAGATGCTCTTCTATACATGATCAATTGAAATAAGGCTACTTGGATTTTTGTAATCCTAATAAATTATATTTTGATTATTGATATGAGAACTAAACTCAAAACTTGTACATTTAATCACATAAAATATATAGTAAATAATGCTAGTAATGGATAATTAAATATTTCCTGTAGTCAGCAAATTGGTTTATAGTATGTGAATATAAAAATATTAAAGCTGAGGTTTTGTGCCGAATATCCAATTCTATGTTGATTGGATCAGAAATCTCCAGCCTATGACTGATTAATGAACATGAACCAATAGCACATTGTACGCTTTATTGGTCACAATTACATCCAATCTGGACATGCCTAACCCATAATGGGATCACCCAGCACAAACACTCCAATCTATATTTTTCCTGATAAATTTTGTGTATCTGGAACACTGGATTCCTATGGTAACAGATTGACACTTTAAAGCATGACCATTTAACCAAACCAAGTTATAATCAGGATAGAATTTAGTTATGTAAGACATATGTTCCTATAAGTAACACAATACTATTAGTTCAGGTAACTTTAACATCGCCATAGTGTTTTGAAAAAACAGATATCTGTTAACTACTACTTAAATTAATAATTTACTAGCTACTACACAAATTGCTTCCATTAAAACAACAAAATACAAAATAAGGAAATTTGAAAACATTTAACAAAAATCATTCTGATTAACAGAAAAATTGGTTAAGATACAAAGATGCTTCTCAAAATATCTTTATATGATTTTAATAACCTGGAATGTTTCATACATTTCATCAATTTGTTGGCAGTTACTTAAGATATAAATTTATTGTACACTGTTTGATTGTTAACAAGTAAGTTAACAATCAAACTTTGCAGTTATCAAATCAAATCTTTAATGGCAGTTCATCATACTTTACTATTTTATTTATTTTTATAATTCTTAAAATATCACAGATCATGTATATTTATATGTTTGATTTACATCGTCATGTTTTTGTTCTATTTATTTCAAAATGTTTGAAAAATTCTGCGTGTTCCAATTTGGAATATTGTTGTTGACCTGATGAAGATCTTGTTTAAGATCAAAAATGTTGATCAAAGTTCCTACATTAAAATTTTCATTACTGGATTTTAAGGGTTTTGTTGAATGTATTTTGTAATTCATTCCAGTTATTGAGACAAAGATAATTTTATTCATCATACTTTGTCAGAAAGAAACTTTGCATGAAGTTGAGATTTGCTGTTGAATTCTGCAGATATTATATATAAAATGATGTACTGTACAAGATTATATCTTGGATTTTCCATTTGGAGAATATCTCAATAATAAACTCAATGGAAAATAGAGTGGACGTGAATCTGAAATGAGGTGGGCTCCCGAAAGTCATTACTTAACAATACATGACAATTCACTTTGAGGTATGTAAGAGAAAATTTCTGAACTCTGCCTTAAAACAGTTGTAGACCTAAAAATAATCTAAGAGTGCTTTACTAACTTCCAAACAATGACACAAAATATTTCTAGAAAAACATATCAAAAAATTAAAATTTGTGTTGAAAATGAAGGGAAACTAGTAAATATAGAAACTATGGATATTCTGTATAATAGTTGCATACTTCATGTAAGATGGATAGTATGAAACAAATGAAATAAAATAATGCTGGTTGTCTATACAAGAAGTTTATACTTAAATATAACACAAAATGCACAGCAAAAAACCTAAGTCCTTCCAGTCACAATAGGTGCATATACTTTTTGAATTAAACTGACATTGATTGTTCAAATCAAGTATACAAATGAACTATAATGAGTCTGATCAATCTCTATCCACAGATACATATTCCACGTAGGATCAATCGGATTCCAATCAAACTAATCCAAGCAGAGGGTACGGACCATTAGGATTGGATAAAGAAGATTAAAGATAGTGACCTCCACGATTAAAGTCAAACTTACAGTTGGCAGCAAAGAAATACGTTTAACTGTTGATAACGAAGAGTATTTAAAAAACACCATTATTAAAATATCCGACAAACTGAGATAGAAAACTAAGTTTTAAGAGACAATTTTGAGACCGTACGGCAAGAACGAAGAGCACACACTTTTCCATTTTTGCCAACAATTCAATACGATTCGATCCTACCCATACACTTTCCGCCAACTAATGCACACAACAGAAGCGATCTCTATCACGTGGCAAAGAACGATCCAACCTTACGGATCAATCCGTCCCAAAACAAAAAGTATACGCACCCGATGTTTTAACGAAATACAAATGTCTTCGACTCATTTCGTTAAAACATCACGACCGAAAGGTTATTTGTCATGTATTTTATGTTACAGAACAGTCCAGCTTGAAGAGAAGTTTCTTTGTATTTATTTGAATATAATAAATAAACTTCACATCTAACATAAACTCAATGCTAATTAAAGTGATTTAAAAATGGAGATCATAATTGTTTACAATTGAAACCCTGTAAAAGTTAGAGCTTACATCTTTTTTCAGTTGTAGAATGTAAATATTTCTTACTAGATGATATAATATTTTTAAAAAAAGTGAAAAAAATCACCTTAGAGTCTCTAGCAGAAACACACTTTTTGACCACATCAGACTCTAATGCAGCTCTATCACTTTTATCTACATACTGGAAGTAATAAGAGCTGCACAGATTCTCTCTGGTACTGACTATATACAGGAAATTGATCATATTGTAAAGAGAAATTTCAATTCAATCAAATATCGACGAGTAACACGTGACGAAGAAAATGCTCCATTTCACTTCACGTGCTGGCAACACTTGTCTTCCACTGACGTCACTCCCAGGGTTCCATTAAAGGGGGGGAATTGTGTTTGGTTAATGGCGACGATGCAATGATGATGGAAGACAATCCAACATCACAAAATCACGCGGAACAACTCGGTGCTCCGTCTCCGCCGACGAATAGTATTAACGTTAGTGGTAAACAAAATCAAGACGATCAAAGACCGCATTATTCTATACCCGGAATACTCCATTTCATTCAGCACGAATGGACGAGATTCGAAATGGAAAGAGCTCAATGGGAAGTGGAGAGAGCGGAATTACAGGTAATTTACGGGATTTTCGCGCGGAGAAAAGTGTAAATATTAAGATAGATCCGTTGGATTTTCTTTTAGTCAAAAGCTAGAGCCGAGAAATCGCGTTTTAAATGGCAGCAAGTCGTATAGAGTTATAACAGCGGCGGCCATCTTTGAAACAAAATGGCGGCTCCGAAGACAATTTTAGATCTTTTCTGACGATCGGGAGTCGTTGGCTGGCGTATTTAAAATAGTGCGTTGGAATTAACAGTGCGATGCTTTGTATAAATGTGTCGATTCTTAATGCATCCTTCTCACTCTCTGATTTTTCTTATGTTTACATTTACTTGGATTTTTTTTTCAATGTGTTTCATTTATGGTTAAATCTATGCCGAATTTGCTGCTGTTGTTGTTGTTTGTAATTATAGTGTGATCTGTACCTTACATTCTTACAGGAATTCTTTCTTGGGTTTGATTACAAAGCTGTTAGAATGGCATATGAGAGAATCTAAGCTTATATATACAATTAAATTGCTGCTGGTGCTTGTGTTTATGTAGTAGTTATTATCATGTTAATAGTAACTTGAGGAAAATTTTTCATTTTTATCATAAATAATTTTGTGTCAAATGATAATACCGAATTTAGCGCGATAATTAATCTGGTGTTATCGTTTGTGTATTAATAGATAATCCGGGCTTGATTTAACTGTGTGATGTTTTTATGTCTGTAAAAGGAATCGTTCAATCTTTTTTTCCTGTAATATAATAAAAATTATGTTTACATTCTCTTGGATTTTTTAAATGTGTTTAATAGTTTATGGATAAATCTATGCCGAATTTGCTGCTATTGTTTGTAATTTTAACGTTGGTACTATACATTCTTACAGAAATTTTTTCTTGGGTTTGAAAGTGAATTGTCTTTAATATCAGAGAATCTGAGCTTATACGTAGGCTGTTTTTTTTTTTTTTTCAAACTCCGACAGTCCATAAAAGACAAGTGTAAATAACAAAATGAATTTATTACCAAAAGTTAGGTACGAACATGGTTACTTTTTGACATAATCGCCATGAAGATTGGCGGATTTGTCATATTATGGAGGAGCTTTTCCGTCCCCTCTTCGTAGAATGTTGTCGCCAGTGACTCAAGATGGGTCCTAACGTTGTTTTGAAGATTGTCATTAGTCTCAAACTGTATCCTCCTAGCCACTTTTTCTGTTCGGGAAAGAGGTGGAAGTTGCTCGGCGCTAAATCGGGGCTATATGCTGGGTGTTTAAAGGCGGTGAAAACATCCATCTTTCAGACTTCTACCAAGCTTGGAACTTTTTAATGTGTGAAGACTTCCACCTCTTTCTCGAACTGAAAACGTGGCTAGGAGGGCAGAGGTTTGAGACTAATGACGATCTTAAAAACAACTTTGTTAAGGCCATCTCAATTCACTGGCAACAACATTCTACGTAAAGCTCGTCCACAGATGTGACAAATGCCTCAATTTTCACAATGATTATGTCAAAAAGTAATCATGTTTGTAGTTAAATTTTGGTAATAAATTCATTTTGTTATTTACACTTGTCTTTGTTTTATGGACCATTGGAGGTTGGAAAAAAATCACCCTTGTATCTATGTGAAATTTTATAATTTCTAACTAAAATTGTGTTAAATTAGATGCAGATGCTTGTGTTTGTTCATTAGTTAGTACCATGTTAATATTAACTTGAGGAAAATTTTTCATTTTTATTACAAGTGTTTTTTATGTCATAATGCCAAATTTGTGGTTGGGCTAATATAGCTTGATAATTAATTTAGTGTTATCATTTGTTTATTAATAGATAATTCATTCTTGATTTAAGTGTATGATTCATTCATATCATAAATGAATATGGTTGAACTATATAAATTATATATCAACTATATGATCTAAACCAAGGCTTGAAGGCTTAACTTAGTTTAAATATGTAAGCCTGAATTATTCGTTAATAATAAACAAAAGAACCATTCGATCTTTTTTCTGTAATATAAGAAAAATCGTTTACATTCACTTAGATTTTATTTAATATGTTTACTTTCTGACTAAATTATGCTAAATTTGCTATTATTATTTGTAATTTTGTTACAATTAGTAACATATTAATAAATGTTTCCTTTGGTTTGATTCTGTAGTCAAATTGAAGAGCTAATCTTTTCCTAGCAAATCTGATTGGTAAAGTCTGAGTTAAATTGTTTTTAATATGCAAAAAATTATTCTTATATTCACATGAAATTATTTAATATTTAATTAAAATCATGCTGAACTTGTTAATGCTTGTATGTATGTGGTAACCTATCTTTCCTGGCCATTCCTTCAGTAGGATCTTTTTCTTCTTTCTATTTCTATTACTTTCTTTGTTTGCCTCTTGCAATCTCATCTTGCCTCTTTCAATCTTCCTCTTTGATCTCTCTCATCTTGTAGATCCTGTATGCTTTCTGAAAAAAGATAGGTATAATGCTTTTCAAATCTTTTCTGCTAAATGATATTTGCATAGTTTCTGAATTTTAATTCATTTCTATTTCCTTTTTAATAGTGAAAAATCTTTGTGATGTAGAATTATCAAAATTACACTTTTTTATTTATTTATTTATTTTGGTTACGTTATCACAAACTTGTCTTGAGTCTGATTTGAAAATACTCAATCTTTCTTTCTGTGATGTAAGAAAAATATTGTTTATGTTTTTGTGGATACTTTATATATTTCATTTTCGATTAAATTTATTCTGAATTGCTACTGTTGCTTATATTTTGTTGTGATCAATATTAATACATTACAGAAAATCTCTCTTTGATTTGATTATAAATCTGTTGGGAATTGTTTGAATTGGAAAGTAAAGTATCTTTAATATGCTAATAATTACACTTACGTTTGTGTGAAATTATTTAATCTCCGTATAAAATTATAATAAATTTACTGCTAATGTTTGTATTTATGTGATGATTGGTATAACATTAATTTGATACAAATATGTTTCAAGAAGGTTAATATCAGCAATAGAATGATCTGATTCAGTTTAAAGATAGAAATTAGATTTTCAGTTAATAAATTTTTTCGCCTAATTTAATTGTTAATATTTATTGTAATATGAAAACAATCATGTTTACATTCGTGTGAGATTTTTTTTAATATGTTTTTGACTAAGATTATTTGGAATTTAATTAGTATTATTTCTATTTTTGTAATAATTATGATGATATTTTATCTTTGATTTGATTATAGATTTGTTGTTGTGAAAAACTTCAAATCTAAAACAAAACAGCTTGCTTACATCATTAAAGTGGAATTCTTAGTCATTGTTATGTTTATAATGATAAAATTTAGATTTTTAATTAATTAGTTTCTATGTGTAATCGTTCAGCCAATTCTTTTGTATCGAATGGACTATTTTTACATAAAATTAATTTATTTATATAAAAGTTAATGATGATAGATGATGATGGATTTATAACAGGGATAAACAAATATCAACCTAGAATTTAATTGTGTCAAGAACATGATTAAACATTAATTTCTGTGCAAAATATTAAGTTAATTGATTTTCCTTCATTTTATTATTTATTTCTAATAAAAATCTTGATAAGAATGAATTATGCGACATCATGTTTATAACAATTGAATCATTGAGATTTTGAATCTGAATTTGTTAAATATAACTTATATTAAACATACACTAAATTAATGAAACATAATTTGTACCGATATTATAAATAATTAGGAATTGGTTCCTTAATAAATTCTGCTGATTTAGTGAAATATTTTTAAGATATAAGACATTTTGTACATGAATGTTAAGATAGTGATTTCTCATTGTCTTATATATTGGTATTAAGACATTGATTTCTTATTTCTTCAAGCAAACAAGAAATGAATCCCTTAACATATATACCTGGAGCAGAATTCAAATCCTACTTTAATTTTGAATATTTACATTAGTTTGTTTTTAATAAGGAGTATTATTTAGAAAGAGTATATTCGACTACTATAGTATGACTAAATTACATCGTATTAAACCATATTTGAAATGACAGGAATAGTTGCACAATAAAGTTTATAGAATTACCAAAATGATATCTCTTACTAAATTTTTATGAATGTTAACAAATTATGTGAAAACTGATACTAATTCGTAAACTATATAAATGAAGCAGATTTCTTCAGGTGCCAAATTAATTTATTACAGCAGAAATGTTTATGATCTACTTTGTCATATTCAGCTAGAAATTGCAAATGTTGAGTATGATGTTAACATAAACCAAATATTGATATTTAAAATTACACAATATTTAAATAAGTAATAAATACATATTAGAATATAATATGCAATATAAATACAATAACATTACAATAATAAAACTTTTAAGTAAATACCAGATGATCATAATTAAAGTATTCCCATTCAGCACTCTGGAGGAATACGTAACAGCCTAAACAGAATCATATTTTATTAATATACGTTGACATATCTCAACGTGCAGAAGAAATTTCTGTCGGAAGAAACTTAATTTCAAAACTTACCACTACAACAATCATGTATATGTATCATATACATGATTGTTGTTAAACTTCACTGAAGTTTTAAAATCATAATTTGAGAAAAATATGTATTTATTGTATTTTCTCGATTAAATTTTGGAAAATAAAGGTGCTATTGAAAATAAAAACTCCCAAGTTGAAAATCATGAGAAACATGTTGAAGTATTGCACTGTATAGGGTAATGTAATTTAGAGTGACAAGTAAGAAATGTAATTAAACTTCTACCTCTTCAAATTTGTCTAGAGTCAGATAGAACTTTAATCCAAGGTATTTCAAAGTTCAAAGAAATGCTTTTGAAATAAAATTGTAAAGGATTGAATATTCAGTACGGGGGAAATTCATAAGTTGAGAGCTGATAAGCTCTCAACTTATGAATTTCCTTGTGACTTATGACGTATAATATTCAGTACGGGGGAAATTCATAAGTTGAGAGCTTATCAGCTCTCAACTTATGAATTTGATTATGACTT